TCCTACAATAGGAAATTAGAGAGGGGGAGACGGCGCAAGAGCAATTGTGAAAACTTGAAAAAACAAGAACAATACAAGAGATAATCACAAAGTCTGAAACGGATAGCGTCCGTAAAATTCGCAGATCGTATATACGAAAGGGCCAGGAACAGTCCGCGGAGAGTATTCGTATGCCGCATTACAATATGTACGAGTAGCAGGTTAGTACCTTTTGCGGCTAGCGGCTCTGCTCTGGCCTCGACCAGGGCTGCATCAGTTGGTGACTCGCAGCCGCGATGAAAAAAAAAACATTTGGGGAAAAAAAGTGATGAAGAAAATATCGAAACGGAGGCGCAATTGCATCGCCTCCGTCCAACACACAGTATATCCCAGCGTACAGAACGCAGCAGCGCATCGCAACGAAGCACCACGGCTTGACTGCGGCACGGCGGCAGCACACAGTGCGCAAGCGGGTGTGCGCAGCCATGACGCTAGCATCTTGGCATCGGCTGTGCCACAGCAGAAACGGGAAAGGCGCATCATGCGCTGCGTGCCTCGTCATCGCTGTGCTGGAGGGTCCAGGTTCCGGTACTTGCGGGCAGTCCAGCGCAAGGCCCGCGGTACCTCTGCGCTCGTTGCATTTCGTGTAAGTTGCAACTTACTGTACGGCTGGGCGATTCTTTGCGTATTCTGGCTGGGTGATTCCGTAATTGCTCGTGCAATGATTCCCCTTTCTGGCCTACCTGACCCTTGTTCCGCCCTGGGTTGACATCTGTATAATACGAGTATGGGGGTACGTGCAATGGCAGCCGCGCGTGTCGTTGGGATGGACTGACGCATGCTGAAACCGGGAAATAGAGCATCCCGGGGTCTTGGTCTTGGCCCATTCATTGTTTAGCAGGAAAAGAAGACCAAAAGAGAATTTTATCGAAAAAGGTTGGATGAAATTAAGCATAGAGTGAAACGATATAGCCATATGGAGCACCGTCTGATCTTTTCTCGACGTGACTGTTCGGACGGTATTGGAGCTTAATGATAGCACGGAATACCTGTGAACAGTCCATACCATAAGACGTATAAACCTAATTGGATTGATCCATCCTTTAGCACCACCTAGTCATCATCGGTACCGATATCGTGCACTTGTACGGAGCACAGTAGCATTGTAGCGATCAATGGATCAATCGCATCCAGCTCGACCTGCGCCCCAGTTGTCTGTCTGTCTGCACACTCTCTCCCGCTGCATCATCATCCTCCATCGTACGCCCATGTACCCAGGCTTCGCCGCCTTGTAACGGTACCCGCGTCGGGCTCCTCTCACCGAGCAGAGCTAATCCTGGTGCTGGGCCAGGCGGCGGCCGTGATTGGCTGCACTGGCCAGCTGACGCGTAAACCGCCATCAGTGGCTCCAAAGAGGAAGAGGCACCCCCTCTGCCACTAGCAGTGCTACCACTTCCACTACCACAGCTAGTCCCTTTATTTCCCCTGCCCTGTATGTGCTGCTGCAGCGCTGCGTCTCCAGAGGGCCGGCGACCCCAAGAGACCCGACCAGACACATACTTCCTCCACTAAGCCCCCCCGTCTGCCTCTTTTTCATGCTTGCTCAGCTTTCATTTTTCCCATCCAGTCCAGCCCAGCGCTTTTCCCAAGCTTCTCTGGCGACGGCTTCACAAACCTGCAGCGTCGACGGTCGATCCCAGCGACAAGGGATTTTGAAAACAAAAAGGGTCCAAGCCCGGATCCACGAGGCCTGGCCAGTTGGCGCACGCTGAGGGGTGGTCTCAGTCACTGTGGCAATTTCAGCGGCCTACGCATCCGCAAGCTGACGACGCTGTCCGCCTACGACCACGATCAGACACCAGCCTAGCCGCGACGTTGACGACGACGCAATCTTGTGGCCAACAACCTCTGCCTGCCACTGTTCTGTTTGCTCTCTATTCTATTTACTTTGATATCTTGCATCCTTGATTGAGATCCAAGATCAGGCACATTCGATCTCGCCCAAAACCCATCCATCCGCATCGGCGTCTTTCCCAGCACCTCGCTCTCGACCCGCTTCACTCGTTAACCCAGCATCACAATTTCCTTCGGCTGCCTTCAACCGCAATGGAGGGCCGAGGCACCCCCTTCGGCTCAGGGCCCTCATCGCAAGGCGACGCCTATGGCGAGGAATGGGCCCACGAACTTCGAGTCCGCTTCGAGGGCCTGCTGCGCGATAAGCGCATGAACGACCTCAGGGCTCAACACCTGTCACAGCACTCGCGGGAACGACCTTCGAGCGCCTACCGCGACGCCCCTTCGCCTGCTGGCAGCAGCCAGTTTGACTCATCTCACGCTTCCGCAACCCCGCCCTCATATTCAGCACTGCGACATCTTCCCAAGATCCCAACACCACCCACCGCTACCGACCGCGACTCACAAAAGTTCCGAAACCTTCTTCTCAGTCTATCACTCACGCCTACCAAGTACGAGAACCCTGGATTGTTGGATGAAGCCCTCCAGACCATTCCCCTCGACCGCATATATGGCGAGGCCGAGGAAGAGAGCCAGGTTCTGCAGGCTCAAGCAGAGAGTATGGGCGACGGTCGGAAGCCGGAATGGGGATATCAGGACTGCGTCATCCGAGCCCTTCTTCGGTAGGTTTTCATGCCGATGAAATGCATTCCTTTCCCCCTTCACTTAGGGTAATAGAGTTCTAACCTTCTTTTTCACTCTTTACAGATGGTATCGGCGGTCATTCTTCACATGGGTAAATAACCCCCCATGCCCAGTTTGTCTGTCCCCTACAATCGCCCAGGGCATGACAGCACCAACCCCAGAGGAGAGTGCCTGCGGTGCGCTCCGAGTTGAGCTCTACCGCTGCTCCGCCGAGAGTTGCGGTGCCTACGAACGCTTTCCACGCTACGGCGATGTTTGGCGACTACTGCAGACCCGCAGAGGCCGCGTCGGAGAATGGGCAAACTGCTTCAGTATGCTGTGCCGCGCGGTCGGTGGCCGTGTGCGGTGGGTCTGGAATGCCGAAGACCACGTCTGGACCGAGGTCTACTCAGACCATCAAAAGAGGTGGGTTCACGTGGATGCCTGTGAGGAGGCCTGGGACAACCCCCGACTCTACACCGAAGGTTGGGGAAAGAAGATGTCGTACTGCGTGGCCTTTTCCACCGACGGCGCTACCGACGTGACTCGGCGATATGTGCGCAAGAACGAAGCCGCCAACGAGCGTAACCGATGCCCTGAGGAGGTTATGCTTTACATAATGCAGGAAATCAAGAATCTCCGCCGGGCCAACAAGTCCAAGGAAGAGCGCTTCCGTTTGGAGAAGGAAGACCAGGCGGAGGATCTGGAGCTCCGGAATTACGTGGTCGCGTCCATCGCCCAGGCCGTTACGGATCTCGTACCCGGATCCCCCAACTCTGCCAACAACCGTGGCGGCAGCGGCGGCAGTGGCGGTGCAGGCCAAGACACCAAGCTGCCGGCCGAGAACCCATCCCGCCAAGCTGGGTCTGCCGAATGGCTGGCTGCTCAACAACGCCAGCACGACAGACAGTGCCAGCCTCGTGATCCTAGCCATCGACGGCATCTCCCTTGAGTGTATGCAAAAAGGATACCGTCCGTGCATATCATTTGTTCTCTTATACCCTCATTTTCTTTTATCGTCTCATACCTACCCATACTAGCCTGACCACCAGGTCGATTCAACCACCTGCAGCTGGCGGCCTCAACACACAACACACGAACGATTTTGTCACGTCGATGATACCCAACGACTACCAATGACAGCCAACCACGTCCTGTCGATGACAAACCGATATGCGATTATTTATTCATCTATTGATATTTATTACCACTTTTCACGGCAGGAGGCCACCACTTGCCTTCTCCTTACCAAAAACCCAAATCTTTCTCTCACATCGACATACTATTTCAGCATAGACTTGGCGTTTCTCTTGTTAAGCCGAAAGAAAAAAAAACTCTTTGTCATCCTGTCGACCCCGCTTTGGAGGAGTTGACTTGTAACTATCACTTATATCTGAGTTTCTTATATATCGTTTCCTTTGTTGTTGGATAGGGAGAACTTGGGCGTATCTTGGAGGGAGGACCGGGACGATTGTTTCACACCAGCGTGAGCCCTTATTATTATTATTTTTTCTTTTGGGACTGGGGAGGGGGTATACCCGAAACCCCCCTTGGGCGCATCGGCTGTTTTGGGATAGCATCTGCTAAGGAGAGGAGGGCAACATTTTGTATGAAGAGATGGGAAAAAGTGTACGGAGGCTTTTTTGGAAAGTAGACCTACCAGAGGCGTAGATGTAGCGAATAGCATGCGTCATGTACGTACAGATAAGACGTTGCAGAGATGTGCATCTGTCTGGTCGTATATGCAATACAAAGAAGCTTATACCTGGTTTCTCATTACAATAATATCAAGAATGCGGCTGCTACTCTTGTGATGCATTCGGGAAACCTGCCAAGAATTGTGTGTTACCTTTGTGATGTATATTGCTTTGATGATGCAGCAATACTCAACTTTTGACCATTTATTGTGAGTGCTTGAAATGAGCTGTCATCTCATCTGACAAATCAAACCTCCACAACTCATTAATAAAGGTACAAAAGTAAAAAAGAAAAGGAAAAAAAAGGGGGGAGCAATGAGATGAAGCTGAAACTCCGCCCTGCGGACATGGCCAGAAACGCACGACTTCATCCGATTGTGAAAGTTTGGCGAGACGGAACCAAAGTCGGCGGCCCACCGCATCGGAGGGACCCACCGAACGCCGAACGTCCCAAATCCGCCGCCGAGGGTGGAATTGTCCGGCATATATAGGCCGATGCAAGTTGGTGTTGCATGATGCATGAAGTGTTGTTTTCTTTTCAATCAAGTCACGCCCCGTTCTTGTCATATCTTGCTCTAGATTGGGGAAATAATTCTACCGCAAGCAGCACACTGTGGTCTCAAAAGCGCTTCACTGCTAACTAACAGCCAATCTTCCAGTCCATTTACAAGTACTTCTATCCGCATCATGGACATCCCGGCGACGATGCGCTCGCTTGTGGCGCCGCGACAAGGTGGACCTGAGGTTTACGAGGTGCGGGAAGTGCCGGTGCCGAGCATCACGCTGCCGACGCATGTGCTCTTGAGGATGCATGCGGCGGCGGCGAACACGGGAGAGCTGCAGGCCGTAGCTGGGAAGATGAAGCTATTTCATACGCCAAAGTAAGACTGCTATAGCTACCGGCCAACCAACTGCACGTTATCATACAGAACCGAGGGACACTGGCCGACTAACTGCGTGATTTCATCTAGATATCCAGCGCAGATTGGCGCAGAGGGCTCCGGCGTTGTCGTCGCCGTCGGGTCCGGGGTCAAGGACCTCAAAGTTGGCGACGAGGTGTTCGGGGCGTACATCGACAAGCCCATGTTCCGGCTGCCACCGCCCGGCTTCATCTCCGAGTACGCGGTGGCCGAGGAGCGCTTCCTGCTGCGCAAGCCGGCACATCTCTCTCTCTCGGAGGCAGCCGCCCTGACAGCCGTGGTGGTGACTTCGTACCAGACGTGGCGGCGCGGCCTGCAGCTCATGGGCGCCGACAGCCTCGAGGGCAAGACGGTGTACATCCCCGCCGGGCTGAGCAGCACGGGGGCCATGGCGGCGCAGGTGGCCAGGAACGTCTTGGGCGCGAGCCGCATCATCACGACGGTGTCGACGCCCAAGCTGCCGCTGGTCGAGCAGTATCTGCCGGGCATCTACGACCAGGTCATCGACTACAAGACGCAGCGGCCGCGGGACCAGGTGGCGCCGGGCAGCGTGGACATCATGTACAACACGCAGTGGAACAGCATGGACGAGGGCATCCCGCTGCTCAACCCCGAGACGGGGGTGCTCATCTCCATCACCAGCGCGCCGTCCAAGGCCACGGCGAGGAAGATTATCGGCGCGGATAGATTCAGCTGGTGGATCGGCTTGCTGCTGGACCTGGCGCAGCTGGTGTACCGGTGGAAGCTCCGGGGCACGAGCATCAAGTACGAGATGGTGTCGGGCAGCCTGGAGATCCGGGAGGATTTGGAGAAGGCGGGCGAGATTGTGGCTCTGGGAAAGGCGAAGCCGGTGATGAGGACGGTGGAACTGGGGGATCTGGAGGCGGTGAAGAAGGGGTGCGAGGAGGTGGTTAGTGGAAAGGGGGGGATCGGGAAGCTGGTGGTGAAGATTTGAGCGTATGACAGTGTGCGAGTGAGATTAGATATCAATGAGATACGATACGATATTCAGTACCTCATCCTTTGATCAGCCACAGACACCATCTTTCATCGAAAACCAGACCGATGGCATTGTTTGTTTTCAGAGACTTGTTTGCACTATAAACACTCTGGCTTAAACGGCATTGCCTCTTCCTTGTAGTGCCTTGTATTATATCCATGTCATCAATCACCACCACCAACTTTTAGCTTGTCGCGAAGCCACTCTACGCGCTGCGACGCATACAGAAAAAAAAAACCGCGACTCGCGCCACCTCTCAGCGCTTGCAGGCGTCTCTCTCGTCGCGCCTCAGCTGCTGCAAATACCTGCTGGGCGACCCGCCTCGTTACCTCAACGACCGCCCAATCCCAATTGATCCGGTCTCGCTCAGCTTCTGTTCCCCCAAAACTCAATTCGCCCGGGCCTCCTCTCTTTTCTTCTCTTCCTCTTCTCCCGTATCACCAACAACTTTGTTTCTTTCTTTTCATCATCATCTCTTTTTTGCTGCAAAAAGCATTGATTGAGAGGGAAGCGTTGCGTGCGAGCGAGCGAATTCCATTACAACTTGGTTCTTCTTCAAACTTGATTTTATTTTCCTGCAATCTTTCACACTATAGCCATGGCGACGCTCCTCAAGCGCAAACGCTCCGCCGAGCTCTGCGACAACTCTATGATGGTCCTCGACGCACCGGCCCTGCACAGCCGCACCCTCAAGCGCTATCGCGACAACCGGCCGTCGGACGAGGAGGTCCATCGTAAGTTCTACGAATGGCGCGCCCACCACCATCTGAGCCCCAACCTGAACTCATGCCTGCCCGCAGAGCACACCCTGGACCTGCTGTACTCGGCACAGCAGCGGCCGCAGGGCCACCAGCAGCCTCAAGACGCCGTCATCGTCGCCCAGTCCGAGTCCGAGCGGCAGCCGGCTGCGAACGCGAACTCGAACGGCCAGCATCAACAATCGCTGCACAAGTTCTGGGACATTGGCTCCGAGCCCAGCTCCGGCACCTCGTCGCCCGGCATCGCCAACCCTTGCGCGCCGCCCACCAATTGCGACGACTGCGGCGCCGCCCTGGCCGGCAGCGACGACGACATGGACGTGGACGGCGGCTCTGCGCAGGACACGGCGTGCGGCGCGTGCGGCAAGCACGTCTGCTTCAGCTGCTCGGTGAGCAACCTCGGCGAGCAGAAGCGCTGCCTGCAATGCGCCGGCCGAAGAGTCTGGATCGGCGGCATTGGCTGGACGAATGCCGGCGTCTCGGTTTGTTAAAATGCATGAGATTTTGAAAACCCCTCCCCATACTTTGGATTGGTATTCTGTTCTGTTCTTTTTTTTTTTTCCTTGTCATCTCAATTCTGATTCTAGTCCTCGATTCTGATTTGGGCGAGCTTTTGAGGAGCTCTTGCTTTGGGACGGCTTGGCGTTATCAGGGGTATGCACATGTGTGTGTGTGTGTGTGTGTGTGTGTGTGTGTAATGTCTGCATGGCATTGATGAAGAAAAGCCAAGAGTTGGCTGCATGGCTGGCATGCTTTAGCGGGCATTAGTGTATTGTATAATACGGGATTTCAAACTTGCTTTGCCACTGGAATTACATGTCCCGTTCTCCTGAATGCCGTTTCACTTGGGTCCTCTTATGACAAAGTTCCACCTAGGTATACAGCGTGTTAAAGTACTGGGAGTGTCACTTGCACCCTGCTTCGTGGAGCCGTAGTCCAAACTTGAAAGTAGAATAGTAATGCTGATAAATGGCTATCTCTGTTATTAAATACATTGTAGGCCCAAATATACCAAGTGACGAACACGCCACGGGCAAGTTGGGTACTTCCGTTTCACTCTCATTAGCATATTCCCTGATTCCGACCTGTACACCAGCATCCAGATGAAGACCAAGAAAAAAAAACCTCCGTAGAGAACCGTCTAGCCACGGCGCCGAGTGGTGGGGCCCTTCTTTGGAACAGACGACGAACTTCCTTCGGACAGAGCTCCGACAGAAATCACCTCCTTCTGCTTGCCCCTGGCCTTGGCGGACGGGGCGTTCCAATAGTACACCATCTGCAGAGCGAGAATGGCGTTGAGGGCAAAGCCAGAGATGAAGCCGTACAGTATAAGCTTGTCGTCGACCTCTTGGAGGGTAGTGAAGATGCGGGTCAGCGAGCCGGCCAAGTAGTTGAAGACCTAGATTTTTCAATTCCGTTAGCCAACATTTCGTTCAGTGTGAGGCAGCAAGTGTAAACAAACCGCAAAGGCGCTGAGCTGGCCGGTGCCTCCCTCTTGCCAGATGGCGAGGATCTGAGGAACTTTGCTGGCAACGCCGAGGACACCAGCACCAGCTTGTAGGTAGCTCAAGGCCTGCATATCCACAATGTTGTCCGCAAACAGCGCTGCCGCACTGACGGCCAGCGCGGCGACAAACAAGGCAGCCGTGGTGGGCCGGCCGCTGTAGTTGAGGACGAGCATGGCGATGATGACGTTCTGGCCCATGATGAAGGCGGTCTCGCCAAAGGTGCTAAAGGGGAAGCCGTTGCGCACGTTGTAGGCCAGCGAGATGAGGTACGCGCTCGTCTCCAGCAGGTACGACAAGAACGACACGCCCTCGGCGGACTTGGACCGCAGCAGCTTGAGGATCTGCGGCACCTTGACGACGGCCGAGGCGCCGACGATGCCGATGCCCAGGCCCTTGCTGATGGCCAGCTTGATGCATTCCGTGTTTTCGACGTCGACGTCGAGCAGCAGCGCCTTGTAGCAGGTTTCGCCCACAATCGACACGCCCAGGTCCCGGATGGGGGCCGGCAGGTTGTGCGTGATGGGCTGGACGAGAGACCGGACGGCGTCCATGGCGGGCGGATCGGATGCGAGGCTGAGCTTTTGGAGCTTGGAAGCTTGGACAAAAGACGAGGCTGCTTCGTATCGTTTTCGTTTTCGTTGTCCGCGAGAGGGAGCCTGGTTGGGGGGAGAAAAAGAGAAAATAAGGCTTGATGCTTTTTTCAGTTAGACGCGCCTCTTGCGCCTAGTGCCGGGGTGGAGCTCAAAGAAAGTTGTCCAAGCCCCCCTTCGAGGTTGCGTCGCAATGCTGGGCTGGTAGCTTTGAAGCTATCGTTTTGTTCTTCGTTCTCGTTCCTTGTGCGGAATGCGACGCTTCTTTGTCCGAGCCCTGGTCAAGTTCAGGCCAGATTGCGCTTGTGCCTGGATGACATCAGGTTATGGCGGGGGGGCCTTGCGACTTTGGTGTGGCTCAGCTGCGGCGTGTGTCAGGCGATTCAGTTTCAAGGTTGTTCGAGGGCTTGAAGGGGAAATCGGTAGAACTGGCTGTGGAATAGTCTGGAAAACACGCAGAAATGAGATGGTGGGTTGACATGAATATGCATTGCTGTACATGTTGTCTTCCATTACCTATAGGTACTAATACATGGAATTACCTGTTACACAGATCGATATCCAACCTATCCTTACATCTCGAGTCCTGCCCATCTTGTTGCCACCGCCTGCCTGCATTGACCGCATGGCGCTGGCAGTGGGCCTGAGGGAGGCAGCTGGAGAGGCGATCAGCCGGAGTCCAGCGGGCTTAGCGGCGGGATGGGGGACGGGGGGCAGGTCATTGATGGAGTCGATAGCAGGCTGGGCACTGGAACTTAGGCAGTAGCCGCCAATATTGCCTTCATGTTCCAACAAGCACCGCTGGAAATACTGGTACAATGAGTCTGGCTGGTTTGACCGGATCCGATACTTCCAGGTTCGCTTCAAACTCTCCATCTCCATCACTCTGCCTAACGTGATGCCATCAACTCTTTCATCACCGCTCTCTGTCTCTCTCTTCTCCATCTGTGACATCATTCTCAGCCCAGTCTTTTTACTTCTTTATGCACTGCAAAGGCAAAACGCACGCACTAATCTGTTGCACCAGCTAACCACCAAAGCGATCAACCGCTCGCCCCAATCACAGCAGCACAAGTCAACCCCTAGCCCATGCTAGTCGTAGTCGACATGCCTCGCCTTTGTCCGCCCTTTGCACCACCTGCAGCCACGACGCACGTGTCAGCCCGTGAGGGTCCGTGAGGGGCCGTTTGCGCCATTCGTCCTTGGTCACCAGCATCACGGCCGTGGCCTTGGTCATGATGGAGTCGCATCTGCTGGAATCCAGTGCCTGGTCAGCATCTGCCTCGGTCTGGCCAGCCTCTGATACGCCAGCCTTCTTTTTTTTTTCTTTTGCCATGGCATAGCCGAGCCTTTCTGTCTCCAGTCTCTTTTCCTTCCATGTTATCCTCCTCCCTTGTCTTCTTTCATCCTGCCGCTCGTCCTTCCACGTCCTTTGTGGCGCACAACTGCCTTGCTAGGCTGTCTGACTGCCTTTGATCAAAGCCAACCCACCCCCCATAGCCTATTTGACTCCAGGCCCGGGCCCTGCCGCAGCTAGTGACATCAATTCCATCTCCCACCCACCTTTTGCTTCCTGCCTCTCAGCTTTTGTTTTTGTTCCTGGAAAAAAGCCTACAGACCGTCTTGGATGCGAGCCTTTCTCGCCGTCAGTCGCCGTTCAGAATGGCCGTTCCGCGATCGAATGGCTCAGCGCCGCCGGAGCCCATCAAGTACACCTACATGTTCGAAACAGACAAGAGTCCGACAATGCAGTTTGATGCTCTGCTGAGATCAATCGCGCGCTTTATCGTATGCCTTGGCCTCCGACCCGACATGGCCAATAGAGACGGCACAGCTAATGGTTTTCGTGACAGGTCGTTGAGCTTGGCGACAAGAATGATTCTCATCTTACTCCCAAGAAGCTCGCTGCGTTTTACAAAGCCGTGGGTGGTGATTATGACTGTACGTCGGTAGCAAGCGGGCGACAGGGGGGACTGCGCTTCATGTGTTAACTCGCCGCAACAGCCTTATTCATGGAGACTCCTCACTCAACCATTTCCTACATGTGGTCGGTGACGGGTTGCCAGCACAGTCTGCAGCCTACTGAGAACGACTTTGCTCCGCCTTCCATCCCGGCCTTGACGCCCCGGGGCTTCTCGCGCTGGGAGTCGGTAGAGATCCTTCTCGGACCCGAAGAACATGTGCCCTTCATCCAGTACGCTGTCAAGCATTGGGCCCTGAGGCATCCCGAGACGGGCCAAGCCTTCCCTCCCGATCTTCCCGCCAGCGTCTTTCCCGCACAATCAGATCAGGCAGTCGACCGCTGGCACAAGCAATGTGCCGATACCTTGCGCGACGAAGCGTTCAGGGAGGGAGGGGCAGCAAGCATGCCCAGCTCCAGCTCTACGTCACGACCCGGGCCATCCCCAGAACCTACCGCGCCCAGGTTCGCCTACGTTCATACCGCAGATCCCTTCCGTCCCGTCTCCCCTCGATCGAGGGCTGCTGATCCGAATCAGCCCGAAAGGTTTACTTATGTCCATGTAGGCGGAAGACATGGGGCTAATTTTGGCCAAAGGCCTCCTATGCGTTCGCCCGAACGACCTCGCCGCCAGAGACCCGGCGATGACGCCGCCAGACGTCGAAGCTTTTCCGACTATGCTTCCACACGCCAACCACACGCAGACGGAGTCCGCCATAGCTACTCTGGGACCTATCTCAACCCGGATCCCACCCGAACAACGCCCAGCCGACCCGGCCAAGACCGTCGGCATAGCCATGCCCAGCATCACTCGTCTGAATCGTCAGGCGATGAATCCGTGGATGAACACATGCACATGAGAGCCAGGCGGCGACAACGTACCGGCTCGCCCACGACTCCTGGCGTTCGCCGGGTTGTCCCGCCATCATCGGGGCCTCCACCGTCAGCGGGCTCCAGCGTTCCTTCTTTCCGGACCCATCGCAGCGATAGTCGGGCTGAAGATGCAAGGAGAAGGGCCAGCCCGTTTGGCAACCTTAGGGAAAAGGTCTCGGAGACGGTTTCCAACATACTACCAGGAAGCCATAGCCGAAACAGCTCAAGACACAGCTCCGTCAACGACCCTATTCGCGTGCGAAGAAGCCGCGAGCACATTCCCCCATCCCGATTGAATCAGAACCACTCAGATCTTGCCTCGGACGGCGTATCGGAGGACTCCAGCGAGGAGGAGCTCCGCCATCGCCAACGATTGGATGAGCGGCGAGATCGCTACCGTACTGACGACCAAGACTCTGGTGGGCACAGGGACCGACAGCAGCGGCACCCACGGGTTCGTCCAGATCCAGCGCGGCGCACCAGCAGCCATGCCGATGCCGACAGGCGGCGAGACACGGGGTGGGATGTGCGAGACAGAGATCGCATCAGGGAAGACAGAAAGTGGGATAGACGATCCATGGAAGACGGTTTGGCAAACCCTGGAGGAATGCCTAACCGGCGATACCAGGAATCGGCTTACACCTGAAGTGCGCCCTCGTGCAAATGAGAGAGGGCGCTTTTCAGTTCTTATGACGTGATGACGGATATCAATCACTTGTACGGAGTTTAGCGATTGGGGCCTTTTTTCCTTTCATCTTTCATTTCATTTCATTCTATTTCAAATTGTCTCTTGTTTCTATTTTTTTCTTTTGGTAAAGGTCAATGCGGCTACATAGAGACACGCACATATATAACAGCAATGATCAAAATGACTGGAACGCCTCGATCCATTGACTCTTTTGTACCACTATATGTCTTTCCATGGTATTCTGTTGGCTCTAAATAGTCTCTTTGGAGGCGAGCAATCTCATGCACAATTTTTGGTATCAAGTCTTTCCGCCTCTTTCCCCATGAACAGAAAATGCACATAGTACCCATGGTCAGCGCTGCTGCTACGATCCATCTGTTTAGTGGCAGACGAAGACTTATCAATGCTCTTTACATTAGGGAGGTTGCTATTCCGCTCTATCCCTGTTGCTGCCCCTGCAGTTTGATCGGTCTGTGTGCGGTCAAATATGCCCGGCGCAGCAGATACAGAACAGAATACCAGCCCTAAGAGGAACAGCACTGATAAGCCTGCATCTGCCACTGAACAGACGGGGGATCGGCCAAAGTGCTGCACATGTAAAAAAGGGTTTGGTGGTGAGGGGGTTTTCGCTAGCCGTTTTATGTAGCCAGCATGCTGTGTTTCTATCCTCATCTCATCGCAGTATCTTCCATCACCCCTCTAGGCCTGGCTAGACGGACATTTTCATGGGAATCGATTTGTGGGGGTCGTATCCTTTGACCACGAAGTCCTCGACCTTCCAGCCATCGATGCTGCCGCCCTTTTCCCGCGTAATCTCCAGCTCGGGGAATGGCCGAGGCTCGCGCTCCAGCTGTGTCTGGAGAGCGTCGATGTGATCGATGTAGACGTGTGCGTCTCCCATGACGTGGGTAAGACTTCCGGGCACCAGATCGCACACGTGGGCGAGCATGTGCGTGAGCAGCGCATAGCTGGCGATGTTGAAGGGGATGCCGAGGCCCATGTCGCAGGAGCGCTGGTATAGCTGGCAGTGGAGGTGGCCCTTTGGCTTGTTTTCCTCCGTGGGTTCTGCGGCGCCAACGCCCCGTCCGCGCCCAGGGTACGAGACGTAGAACTGGGCAAACATGTGGCAGGGCGGCAGGGCCATGCTCTTGAAGTCTCGCGGGTTCCAGGCGCTGAGGATCATTCTCCGGTCGTAAGGGTTGTTGCGCAGCTTGTGGATGATCTCGGCCAGCTGGTCGACGCCCTTGCCGGCGTAGTCTGCCTTTGCGTCGACGTACTCGGCGCCAAAGTGTCGCCACTGGAAGCCGTAGACGGGGCCCAGGTCACCGACCTCGCGGTGGGTCAGGCCGACGCTGTCGAGGAACTCGCGGGACCCATTGCCGTCCCAGATCTTGACGCCGACGTCGTTGAGGGCGATGGAAGATGTGTTGCCCTCGATGAACCAGAGGAGCTCGGCGATGACGGCGCGGAGAAAGACCCGTTTTGTTGTGAGCAGAGGAAGGATGGGGCGGCCGTTGTCGTTGAGCTGGAACTTGAAGCTCTGGGGTGCGAAAACAGACAGGGTACCTGTGCCGGTGCTGGGGGAAGGGACAAAGCGTCAGTACGTGAGAGCCGCATGTCATGTATGTCACCTAGGCGGTGCCCTTACCGATCGGGTCTTCGCTCACCCTGGTCCAAGATCTCGCGGACCAGGTTGAGGTACTGGTGCTCCTCGTGTACGGACGTAGACCCCATGTTTTCCTCGGGCCGAAAGTAGGAACAAAGGCCGAAGAAAAATATGCGGTATCAAGGAGAGATAAGGGGAGCAGATGGACACGCAGAGGTTAGCGGGGGAAGGGAAAAGGGAAGGGCTGCAAAGACGAGACAAAATTGGGCGGTGATGTGATACCCGATGGCTTCTGTGTGACGTGGGGGAAAAGAGGCGACGCGCTGGGACGCGCTCGATTAATTAAGGCGGAAGCGCTACACGTGATTTCGCGCCAGCTCATTTAGCATTGAATGTTTGAGTCAAGCAACGAACATACATGTCATGACCAAGATTCGCTGTTTATACTCTATACTTTATACAGTGCTACTATGTAATATTTGATGAATTCTCTGTTAATAAGATATGGGGGCGAGGAGCTCAATCCAAAAGACTGTCTCGTTTCAACTCCCAGCGTTGTCATACGTGCATCAAGAAAAGAGAGAAGAAACCATTGTCAGTTTCGCTCTTGCGCTGGGGCCACTGCCATCAATCCCACCAGGGTGACGTCTCCCCCCTTGTTAGCCAACCGGATGTCTTTGGTCGTCCACTGCTTGAACTGCTTGAACTTTGTCTTTTCCAACACTTTCCTGCTTCCCGGATTTGCCACGTCTACTACGGCAACGAGCATCTCGACAACAGGTTCATCGCCCGTCTCCAGCGCTTGTGCATCCAGGCTCGTCGCATCAACCTCAACCTCCACCTCGCTGCGAGGCAAACTCCACCAGCTCTGGAGAAAAGCCGTCAGGAACTCGGTGGCGTATCCCTTCCCCCATGCCTCCTGTTTGAACGTGTAGCCAACCTCTGGCCACCCAAAGCAGCGCCCTGAGATGCTGTGCATGCCGCCTTTGCCGACCAAGTCGCCCGTGTCCTTTTCAAAAATGTGGAAGCGATAGGATTTGATGTCGTTTGGGGGGAGCATCACGTCTAGGCTCCTGCGTGTGTCCTCGAGAGTCTTGTCCGCGCCCTCGACGGAATACTTCATAGCTTCATGCTGGATGCGAAGCTTGTGTAGAGCGGGCACGTCTGAGATGCGTGGCGCTCGGATTATGAGCCGCGGAGTGTGCATTTCATCGCGAGAGTCGTTGGGCGGGATGAGCGGGAGCGTCGTACGGATCGTGATTCTCTGCCGTTGTTCCATGTCCACCTGTGCCGAGATCAAGAACACGGATTTTGAAAAAAGACGAAAATCTCGATCCGACCAGGTTGAAGCCCAGGACTTGTATATATTTGTCTTTTATCCTTGATGTTGCCCACTTGGAGTGATGCCACGCCTCTTGAAATCTCCGGGGCCGAGATTAGATAGCCCCCACGTTTGCAACTACTACTGCTACTTTGAAGTTGCTGTCTATATCCATAGGTATTAAAGAGGCCAGCATCCAAGATTGCGCACGTCTATTGCTGCTATGGCGTTATAGGCAAGATACACGCAACTAGGTTCGGTATGAGTCAACAGGTGAGCACAATCATGGGACGTGTGTCTGGTTCGTGTGTTCGCCTAGGGCCATGTGTCCACGCAGCGAAGATATGGAGTACCAACTGGACAATCCCCAAAATAGGCGCCGGGTCAGTTGTTATTACTCATCGCCGAGGGACTGGAGCCTAAAGACGAGCCGCACCAAGCCGAGTCGTTCACGTCGGAGCGCTGAGGATGCCGGAGCCGTCGCAATGGCCATTCAGGCAGCTACAGTTGCAGTGCCCAATGCTTATGTTGCCTGTACGCTGACGACGTTTTACTGTAGTCGTATTGCAGCAGCGGAGCGCACTTTGACATTTTGACGGAGTTTTAGAATGATGGAGTACCTATGAATACAACAGGTACCGACCTTCTCTCACTTGCCTCTACTCTGGCAGGTACTAAAGTTGAAACTTATCCATGAACGTGTTTCATCTCTACTCTACAGGGTAGGAAGGCCACTGACATGCGTATACTTGAGGAGATACAACTCTGCAAGAAGTTGAAGCAAAAGAAAACGCATTCCGGTGATCAATAATACTGTAGAAAAGGATTGATCAAATTCAATATTCTGCTACTAATGTGCGGTTTAGGTAGTAAGTGCAGTAGAGCAACTGCAGACAGGGTCCCGTCGTTGTTACCGACCCAATCAGCGGTGCCTGTCGCCTGCAACGGCCAGCCCACCAATCCATCACGATCAAATCGAACTGCTGCTTCCAGCCAAGCCTCGGGGACCAGGATGCTCATGTACATACATTGCTCGTACATGTAGGCAGACCGCTGCTGCTGATTCCATGTACTTCATGTACTCCATGTGCAAGTACAGTACCTCTACGAGTACTAAATCCAGCTGAGGTGCATTCTTTCTTCCCCGGCCTTCTATTCTATTCCCCTGTACGGAGCGCTGTAGATTACGGAGCCCGTCATGCAGTTGCTTGGTCCACTCCGTCGCTCGCTGGACACCTGCCAGATAGCCGTAGCAGTAGCAGTAGCAGTACAGTAGCACTCACTTACTCACTCGCTGGATCTTTCTTCACCACGACCAGCAGCATCATCTACTCCATACCTTATATCCTCAGGCCCTCATCCGAGAGCAGACGCACAACAAACATCGTCGGGCTGTACAACAACCTGAACTGCTGCCTGCATCTCTCCCGCCTCAACCTCAAGCCCAACATTGATTGACCTTTGCCTACTAAGCGTCCTGCTTCCCCCCTTAGAGGCTCTCCTTGTCCCGTGCGCGGCCACCCTCTCGGATCAGCCCCCCAGAAATAATCTCGGAGGCATTGTGTCCATTCCTAGCGGTCCCAGCACTACGAGCACCAACCCGAGTCCGCCCGCATTCGGTGCCTTGTTGGCTTTGCATCTCTCCATCTTCCCTTGAACATACAAAGCAAGCCAACGTCTTCCAACAGCAGCCTCTTCTCCTGCTTCAACTTCCCTTGCGGCGCCCTCGCTCAATCGCCAAGTTACGCAACCCTCGACTGGCGTCTTTCCGCTAAAAGCCGCTTCGTCGTCCGATTCAGCCGAAACCACCAGACGACTGGTGGCGCCGTGATAAATTCTGTCCAGTGCAAATACGCCCCTCGTTTTGAATCTACCACAGCGCCTGCCGCAGCCATGAAGGGCCAACCCATCGACCAGCTCGTGTACGAGGAAATGTTTCCTCGGCCAAAGACGTTTGATCCGCAGGACTTTCAAGCTCTCCTTCAACGCAGCCTCATCCCCGAAGTCCGCCAGGAGACGCACGCCTTCTACGGCCATCTCGAGACGCAAGAAGCCAAGTATCCCGGGCTCGACTACACCCATCGCACTCACCGCATCCGACTCAGCCGCTGGCAATGGCACCGCCGTCTTTTCAGAGCCTTTGACAGCTTGGGTCTTACACACGCCGAGATTTCTGCCCTCACCAAGTGGGAGGGCACCAAGTGGGCAAAGGAGAAGTTTGAGAAGGAACAAGGCATCGTTATCAGGGACACCGCGGCCGATGGATTCCCGAATTGGACGGAGCCTGACCGGCCGGCTGCCCAAGGGCGATCTGTCAGGATAAGCACCATTGACATGTCGAATCTGGACGACGACGAAAACATGGACGTGGAAGAGAGTGACGAGGAGCTTGCGAGCGTGGGTGTGCGGCTCAACGAGCGTCTGCGCGCGCAGGCCGCCCGGCGCGAAGCCGGCGACACATCCGTCGTCCTGGACGAAGAATGGGAGCAGTGGCTGAAGAATGCCATTGAGAGCGGCGAGCTGGCCCTCTTGACCGAGAGGATGACGGAGGAAATGCTTAGCCAGTCCCGTTCGTCCAGCTCCATGGCCGCCAGCCTCCTTCCCGACGACATGCTGCACATGGCACGGGCTGGCCAGTGGTCGGAAATTCCCGAGTTCCTCCAGCCGCTGCTCCGCCGCACAATCGACAACGAGAACTCCCTTCGTAGCGAGCACATCTTGACTTCGGCCACGCGGTCCACCCTGCAGTCCGCTCCCGATCACATCCCTTGGCCACGGCGAACATATTCGGATTTACGGCTGCCGGCAGGGGAATCGTCTACGGGCCAGTCTGGAAGACAGGCTTAAAGGGAGTGTGGCCCAAAAGACGACACACTTTTTTATGATGCAGTGCCTCCGAGCTGATAGAACAATTCGAGGGACTTTAGCAAGTTTTGTTTTTTCTTTTTCTTTTTGCTTCTTGCATTTTCTTAGAAGTCTCGAAATTCTCTAGATAGATGTCTGATTTCATTTTGTTTTCTAGCCCGTTCACCTTTAGCGAGATAGTTTTGCGCTTTGGTCGCATTTTTGTCAAGCATATGGGGGACATTACTCTGTTTTGCTTCCATGTACTTTTTTTTATATTTCCCTGCTCGGAGTTTAGGCGGTCAAGCGCGTACACAATGGTTTCCTTCCTCATTTTTTTCTTCCTCTTGTTCTTTTTGTTTGAGAGATTATTTTTTCTTCTTCTTCGTTTTCTGCCATGCGTCGGAGTCTTGTAGATAGGTAGGCATATATGTGTGTACCTAAGAGAGAAGAAGGATAACAGAGATTGAAGGTTAGCTGAGGAGGAAACGAAAACACATTGTCAGCACAGAAATGCAAGCAAAAGACTTGATGGGGCATTTAGATGGATTGCTACAATAACATGACGAGGTCCATGGCACATCTGGCATGTGTCTTTCACTTCGCTTTTCACTCTACTAAATTTCGTCTCTAAATGTTTTGAAGTTCTCGTGATATAGATAGTTGCAAGTACAATATTAAAATACAGAGCCTTGGTATAATGCGGCCCACGACATCCTGGGCAAAAGTTGTTTCGATTGAAGCTTTTTTACCCCGACATTGCTTTTGGGGATGCAGCTGATGATAATACGCCAACCTAATGTAAAATCCGTCCATGCAACCCGCGCCTGCGCCTGTACCGAAACGCCATTGCTCTTTTGGGTTCAAACAGGGGTCCAACAAAGATTGTTAAAAAAAAAGGAACATAAAGAATAGCCAACGTCTCGTATCATGATATCATGGAACACATGCTTCCCAATTTGAGTGGATTCTGGGAGACATTCTACTTCTCCGGCTCAAGATGTGACCACTCCGGGACGGCTTTGATCTGCTGCCACATGAACCGTTCAAGCTTATTAGCCGACTTGGCATATGGTGTACTCTCGTTGTTGTATTTGCGGCAGTTGTCAAAAATGAGTTTGGCGTCCTTGATAAAGTCTTCGGGCGTGGCATATTGATCGGCTTCCAGCTTGCTTTCCATTGTGCTGAGGTCCATGGGCTCTTTGATCACGTCATAATAGTCTGCCACGTCGTCTCTGTTGACCGGGACGAGGAATGGCCAAGCAGAATTGTGGTTCTGGAGATCGTTGAGTAGATGAAGAAGCTGGTTGTAGTTGGGCCCGTGGCGTGGCTGGCGGGCAAGCTCGTCCATATCGGGAGACCACCCGGATGCCCGGATGGCTGGGATGTCGAGAGGATTGATCTGGCGTATGCCATTCTTCCACTCCTTTGGTGGCGGGTGAATGTTGTGAGACTTGGAGTATGCTCGAATCTTGGCCTGGACGCATTCCTTCTGCTTAAGGAGCATGCGACCCATTTCTAGATATCGAATGCGTGGTAGCATTGAGCATTGCATAATGGTTCCACCCTCGTAATCCTTGATGTATCCCATCCAAACATGTTTCGGCAAGGTGATTTCTTTTGTAAATCCCTGCTTCTTGAAATAACCAATCGCATAATTGTCGGCATATGTCAAGAAGTGCATGACATCGCTTGTCGCCTTGACATAGTCCTTCAGATGTGACATGAGATGCGCACCGTATCCCTTGACTTGCTGGTCGGAGCTGATAGCACAAAACACGATTTCGGCGAATTGGCGACCCTTGAAGGGTCGATATGTGATGCCGCCCACGACCTCGAGCGGCTTCTTGACAATGGCGATGGAGAGATGGGTTCGATCGTAGACGAGTCGCGCGATGTAGTCTTTGGGCATTTTGGGGAGCTGCTTCTGAAAGATGCATTTGAGACCTGTGAGAATGATGAGCGATTCGCGCTCGTTGTCGTTGTTGACGACGCGGAATTCGATTTCGCCGTTGCGCTCTTCAATGACGGCCGGCTAAGTGGGAGTGTAAGTATGAGAAAGCCATCACACATAGGTGGATGTGTGGATGCGAGATGCCAAGGATGATGCGCACCTTTTCAGGGAATGGAATTGGCTTCATCTCGGCGGGCTTCTGCTCTGCTTCCTCAACGGCATCCTCATCGTGCTTGACCCGCTTAGATGAGGTGGGAGAGGAGGGATCATCCTCGGCTTTGCGCTTGCCACCTAGTTTGATGCGTCAATGATGCGATGGGTTTCTAAGTAACGGGATGCTTGTCGCCTTACTCTCTTCTTTCACATCGACCATGATGTCGGAATGCGCCGGTGTGACTGGCCCTTGAGGGGTAAATCGATGAGAGATGATGGAATTATGGAGTGGTTGAAGATGGCATGCATCATATTAGAGACGGTGCAATAAACGTGACGTTGGGCACGCGGTTTCAAGGAGAGCATGGCCCGAGCGTCCTGCTTAGGTAACATTTCTGTGGGGGAAAGTAGTGGGTTCTTCGTTCCTGCTAAATTCATTCATCAGTTGCTTGAGGGCAAGTGCTGCTTACATGATGCCAAAGTGCCACGAATCGCGCTAGACCCAATCGGCGTAATCGGCCAGATATCAAACATGGACAGCTGTGCACTCACTGCACGAGCTCCCTCCAGCTCCAACAATCTCGCGATTGATTGAACTGTCACCGGCTCCAACGAGAAGCCGATTGCGCCAAGTTCCCTCCCTGCCATCCCTCGTGAGAAGCAGTCTGGAGCCTCAATCGCTCGTTGCACAAAGCGCAGCACATGGATTCCTCACTGCACCAAGTTTGGCAAGCTGCTGCTGGCAGTCCCTTCCTCCCCGTTATTGCTAAGGAAAGCCAATTCACCGTCGCCTTTGCGCTTCTCTCCCTGGGACTCCTTTTTACCGGTATCTTTGCACTGAGTAAGTTCTCTCGATATGCTGAAGAATGGGATATACGTCTAATCATAGGTTGTCACAGATCGTTCTCTGGTCAGCGTCGTTGCGCTCGGCGTCCCGGCCTCTCTAGCAATTGCGTATGAAGCAGCCCCCGTTGATGTGCCGTTTGATTGGAAAGTATATGCTAATGCATCACAGCGTTGGAACTGTCTACATGTTCTGTGCGGTCGGAGTTTATGTCTGAGATACCCATTGTATACTAGTTGGCAAGAAAATCGCAAAAAGAAGGCTCCCAGAGCGAGTTGTTTTGTCTTGCGCCGTCCCTCATTTCATTACGCCTACAAGATTTGTTCTCACACCTGTTCTATTTCCTCCAACATTTGACCATTGCCCTGCCCAGAGAGGGTGTTTTTTTTTCGACAATGGCTGCAGAAGTAAAGCCTGTCTTTCGAGCGGTCTCGACATCTCCGAGGCCGCTATACCAACTTCTCCGCTGCATAGACTTTGCGCAGAGAGTCCATGTCCAGATCACCGAAGATGGCATTCGCTTTGCGGCCGATAATTCGCGGGTCATGCAAGGTGCGATCTGATTGAAATGATCTCTTGAGAGCGTAGGCGGCAGAGCTAACAGTAGGCGCAGGGGTTGCATTTCTGGACAAGACTCTGTTTTCTGCGTATACTGTGAACTTTCCCCTGTCAGAAGATGGCGAAACACCTGAATATCCCAACTTCCAAATACCCTTATCGACATTCCTCGAAATCTTGCAAATCTTTGGATCTGTGGACATGGCTGCTCGAGCTCAGAAGGCCGACCAAGACCCATACCGAAGTAACTTTCGCAACTACAGGCCAAGTGCGTTTAGCAACCAGACTCTTGGCATACCTGGGACCTGCACCATGTTATACGCCGAAGAGGGCGATCCGTTCAAAGTCACCCTCGAAGAGTCTGGCATCAAGACTACTTCAGCGCTGTCAACCTATCTTCCCGAGATGCCAGAGGATATTCCGTTTGACCGTAATGACTTGACATTCAAAATCATCATGTCGTCCCGCACCTTGTTTGACTGCATCGCCGAGATTATCCCAGCGGGGCCCGTCAAGCTGACTATAACAGCCACCAAGACCTCGCCATTCTTAACCCTATCTTGCGCTGGAGACATTGGTAGCTCTAGTGTGGACTTTGCTCGAGGAAAGGATCTACTCGAAACGTTCACCATCAACGAACGCTGGTCACAGGCATACAAGTTTGACTTTATCAGGCATGCCAGCGAGGCGATGCGTATTGCAAGCAAAGTCAGTCTTAGAGGCGACAGCCAGGGCGTCCTGAGCTTACAATTCATGGTCGACGTGGAAGGAGGGAAGAGGAGCTTTTTGGACTTTCGTTTTGTTCCATTCGCCTCACACGACGACGGCGATGAAGAGGATGATGTTGAGTCGGAAGCATATGATTAAGGTAGTCACATCTAGTACGGAGTAATTGAAGCACGTTAGCATGATGAATTAATTCTATTTTTTACTATGACGAAGCTGCCTCAATACTTTGAGAATGAAGGCATCCCTTCCAGACACTAAATACGGTATGGATGTGTCGATAGGGCTCGTCATGACGCGGTGTGAAGCTCATTATCGCGTGTGTGAGACATCAATTGAGACCAAAAGCCCGCTGTTTCTCACATGCTTTGGATGACTCCCTTGCGTCCAGATTATGAGCAAGGTCCACTTGTGTGAGACTTTGCAAAGCGAAATGAGGTGGTCGCCCAGGAGGTCCTTGAAATGCATTCCGACGATTACTATTGAGTGGCGGATAGGGGTTGGGCCGCGACATGAGATTCTCTTTATTTAGAGCTCTTTAACCCCGTGGCATACATATTCTTTTCTTAATCCCACTTCCTTCCTTCTCTTCTTTTATGAAGCTATTCACACAATTTGCATAGTGGAAAACGAAATCTTTGTGTTAGTTGTTGACGACTCTTGCAAGACTTCGACTCCGTGCCTCCCATTAGCTATACGATCTGAGCAGCTCACCCACTCGATACAATGTTTCAATCAAAAGGCATCCGACTTGACTCCCAACCCGAGAAACTCCCGTCTCCTCTCTTTTACACCCCAAAACCCTCCATTTCATGGCACGCAGACGTCCTCGAGTCCATCAAGAATTGGCTCACCATGTGCTGCGGCAACCGCACCGCCTACAAGACGAGCGACGCGGCAGTCAGGATACTGGAAGAAGGGAAGAGCCGGGTCGAGGAAGACTGCGAGCCACTGATTGAAGGCGGGACGAGTGCTGCGGAGAAGAGGGAGGCGTTGAGGGCAACGTTCCCAAGGCATGCGGCCGCCTCGTTTTTGAAGACGGGGACGTCGCTGGCGATGATGGAGGCGAATTGGGTGTTGTGAAGGCAGGGGAAGAGAAGGGAGATGCCATGGAAGGGGGTATACCTTTGGGATTCTGGAGAGGACATGTTTGGTATGCGTGTCCGTGAACAACTTCAATATGTTGGTTTCATTGGTTTTGATGCTACCTGACTACTAATATAAAGACAGATTGCACTACAATTTCAGCATGACGACTACTGGAGTAGGGCATTTACTGCTTGATTGTGGTTTGGAATATGGGGTTTACTTTGGGATACGGAAGAGGCATTGCGGATGCATTTCTTCGGTACTAGTATTTTGATGGTGGAGGAATACGGTGGCATGATGGGAATAGTTGCAGCCACAATCACTTTGAATTGAACCGACAAAAAATATTCCAAACAGAATCAACGTGTTTCCACAGTGACCTTGGCTATTAAAAGCTTCCCCGCATATGACAAGAGGCTTGTTACCAGGTCTGGTAGGTCAAAATATAAATTACGTACATTTGTAATGATACTACCACATCGCCCGCTTGCCGGGGTTTAAATGGCTACATATCTATTAGGTACGATGATGAGTCCATAATAAGCCTGCGACGTTTCAGTGGCGTGGTGTTGAATCATTTGACAAACTACTAAGCACAGCAGGCATCTATCTATCTTTATATTAAACGAAATAAAACACCGAGATGTCTGGAGTAAGTAGTTTCATCGGCGAAACATGCGGGCGCTAGGTCTGGCTAAGGCGAGAGAGAAAAATAGAACCAAGAAGTACAGTACCCAAGGTAAGAGAGAGAGAGAGAAAAGAAGAAGAAAAAAAATACTAGGAGCTGCCTCTCTCGACAAGGGCAACATGCAAGAAATGACAGAAAAAGATGGCCCGCGCGGTATTTTTTTCTTTCTTCTTCTGCCGACGCGAAATAGCCGCTTCGATCATACATGACCCCCCCGGCTGTTTAATGGTTACTTGCTTTTTTTTTTCTTTCTTGCATGCGAGATGGACTAAGGCAGCAGGCAGATTGATGGTTTGGGCTTTTTACCCTTGGATGCAACATGGCCTCGTGAGAAGCTGCCTGTCATTGCCACGCAAATTCGCACGACATGGCATGGGGACATGGACATGGGCACGGCATGGGGCACGGCCGGATGCTATTATCGGACCACCCAATGGCTGTCACCTACTGTAGAAGGAATACCGATGGGTTTTTGGTGATGTCAGAGTAACGAGAGCCGTGTTTCGCGGGAATGCGCTGGTATGACATGGAACTCGGACTGCCGGATGTGTGCTTGGTGCTGTTCCATGTAAGCTTCGGGGTCGATTTGGGCGGCAGGATGCGAATTTGTTTCACCCGTCAGCAGCAGGGTGAGAGAGTACAAGTACAGTATACGGTGATGCTGCTGTCTGTGGTTGGGTCGAGACTCGAGAGACAGACATGGATGCCACTCGGTGAACAACCGTGTCCATCCGTACCGGCAGTATGTGCGTGCTTGCATGCTGCTTTGCCTGGCAATAGGCAATATGCACATGCAGCTATGTCCAGTATGTATGTGTGAGCAATCCTGGCCTGGCCTTTTGATCGCCTCCAAGCTGGTTGCGGCAAAGATGTTCAACGCCCCGCCGAGGCAAACAAGAAATAGCCGCTCTGTCGTGCTTTTGCTTTTTTCGCCTGCCTCGGGATCCAGAACTATCTCGCCGTGGGTATCGTCGTCGTTGCAGTTTGTCGCTCGGCAGAAGCATGTGGGCAGCGCTATCTTGACGTGAGGGGTAACAATGGGGATGACACCTACTGTCTCTGGTTATTGCCCATGTACGAGCATGTAGGAGCATGCACTACAGAGTATTGGCGTGTACGTGTACTGTAGGATGAAAACGGCGTTACTGAGAGATTGAGTCTTGAATGTGGCCGCACGCACATTCGTTTCCGGCGGACGGCCTTGAAGGGCGGCCCAGCTGGCGGCCCAGGCGACGTGGCCGTGTCAGCCCGGACGGCATGGCTGAATAGCTGGTTGGGCATCGTTCTGGCCTATTGTCATTGGAAGAGTCGTTGGCTATACTCGCATCAAGTACTCGCAGTATTTGCCGGGCTGCGAATCATCTTCAGCTGGCGGGCAGCGTGGGATCCGACGCTTGTGGGACAAGGATTAGATGGATGGAGAGCCCAGCCTGGTGACTCGCTGCTAGTCCGAGTGGGAGTGGTACAAAGTACGTGCATGGCCTGGCATGGCATCTCAAAGCCGTCAAATCGCCCAGATCGTCTGCTGTCGGCTTCCGAAGGATGGCTGCATGGATGCTGGATTAATTGCCTGCGATACATTCCTCCGATTGCTTCGGCACTAGCGGGACACGCTGATGCCGAAATGCCTGCATTGCCTATTTTCCCTTTGTTGCCTTTTCCATTTTCCCGTTTTCGTTTTCATTTTCATTTATCAGTTTTTCTTTTTTTGAGGCTTCCCTTTCCTTCTCTTTGTTGTCTTGAGCATGATGTGGATGAGGCAGATGACACGACTCGCTCCGTGCCCCCGTTGGTCCTTGCGCTTCATGCATGTCAGGCAGGATACAGGATGATACCGACTTATGATGACGGCGTCTCGTTTCGCCTCGCCTCGCCTCGCCTCGCCTCGTTTTGCTCAAATCCCTCAGCGCATGTCTCGCCCACCGACCATCAGTGTGCCAAACACCTACGAGTAATTCCCTGTGGATCAAAAGGCCCCCCGATGCCGCTGCTAAGGCGACATGGCGGCCACGCTGTGGCGGACTCACCGAGGGCGGATGAGGATAAAAAGGCCTCCATCTTGAAAGGTTTGAATTCGCGGGGACCATCGACGGAGCGTAATCGCTAGCGCCATTAGCTGGGCGCCACCACTCAAGTCAGCCGGGATGGTCCGTTGGGGGGAGGGATTGAGGATTCCAGATCTGGGCTTGAAACTTCAGGTACTGTGCTGTACGAGTTAGGTACCTGGCAATGCATCGTGTTGCTTCTAAAGATAAACACGGAGGTGTAAACGTCTAACAACAAACAACATTGATTGACACAGACAATCCTTGTTTTTCATGGCCTTCCAGAAGCAGGGGAAAAAGGGGATCGTGCACTCTGGCGGAAACCGCTGGCAGTTACAGAGTGCTCCATGCCCGGTGGGTACGTACCCCGCGATGAAGCAACGGGGCGGGCAAAGTCCAACCAAGCCCAAGCAAGTCCCTCGCATGGTGGCATCGGCCCGTCCATCTCGTCTTGTGCACAGCTGGCCAAGTGATGCGCCTGTTGTACCGAGTATAATACCGTGGATAATATCGAATCGACTATGTTTTGTTGCAGACCTGTGGAGGTGTGCTTAGGACAAACCAAGGTGCTGATGCAAGCAGAGACGGAGGGATGGACTGAAAGACTCCAAGTTACGGTGAAGCGGTGCTAACGTGCTCCCTGGGGCACTTTTGGCACGGACGGTACTCCGTATCTGATTGCGCATTTGATCAGTTATTTTTTTTTTCTTTTTTTGCAATCAGCGTGATCACAATAGGGAAATAGTGTTGACAATAGTACATACTGTCTCCATTCCGTAATATATGTGATTGTTGATGATAATGGAGTTCTGAGGTAATAGTGGTAGCAGTAATACCTTAGTACTGTCATGTTAAGTGGTATTGATAGCGTCTATTAAGGCGACAACTGAGCAAGGGAGTTGGATCATCACTTGGGACAGTGTAAGTTGGCATTTCGTAATACGTGCGCTTAGCACTCCTACCGTCAATGCTGTGATGGGGTACCTGGTACTGACATACCTTGCTCGCTCGTGTACCATGTCTGGCATCAATGAGTTAGTTCTGATTCAACTTGGCCTCCCCTTGCAGCCCATTACTCGCTGCCTGAGAGCTCCATGTTCCATGTTCCATGTTCCATGTCCAAGCTCCGTAGCAAACCGGCACTCGTCCTAGGTAGTCGTAGTACCATCTACATGCAGTAAACACTGTAGCAGAAACATTGATGCACCGATATCAAGTTCTCTGCATCTTCTGTCCGCCCTGCAACGCAAATGCGGGGCCGCGACCAGAGCTGGGATGGACGGTCCGTCCTCGTACATGTATGTACTCCGTACTTGTACAGGTAGCATCAACATGGCCCATGAACGACTGTCGACTGCTCTCGGCGAGATGTCCTTGCCCAGCGACTCAACGTAGCAGCAGCTGACAGCTTTGGGGTCCTTTTGGGGGTCTCTGTGGGGAGCAAAAGCGGCATCTGAACTGCTTCAAGTGCCTTTGTGCGGGTTGCTCACGGCGCGCTAGGCCTCTCGGGGCTAAGCCGCCTTGTTAGGGGCACCTCTGCAATGGCCGCCGTCGCTAACGAATCAACAGCGCCATTGCCGCCTATTACTCCGGATGTGCCTGGTGGAAGTCAGAGGCCACGACTCCGTCAGGCTCGTGCAACGGCGTGCCGTCCGTTCGCCTTCTTTATCCAGTGCAGTCGATTACACTATCTTGTTGAGAGATATTTGATCTGCTCAAGAGAGAGAGATGGGGAGAGGGATTTGGCCACCATTTGATCCACCCCGCCACTGCCGTGCACAATGAATCCAAGAGCTGAACGCATCCATCAATTGCCAATATTTCGAGGCCGCAAAGCGCGCTATTGGCTCCGAGCGGTGCTGCCGCATACTCGTACTAGGTAGCATTGCCTTGCTTTTTGTTCAATTACGAACACGGGCATCTGGCCTCTCCCAGTGGATCGTGAGCCCGAGCTGAAGATGCGTCAATCATCTTAACTCTGCAAATCTCCCTGATTAGCCAAATTGCACGCAAAGAGGGAATCCGAACAAGCACGGCTGCAGGTAGAAACTACTTCCTCGCTAGGACTGGTCTGGCGGGCCGGACGTCTCGGTTAGGCTTGGCTTTGGGTGCTAGAGCAGCTCCGAGGTGGCTCCAGCCTGCCCTTGTGCCTGCCTCCCCAACCAAGACGCCATCAATTGCTCCAATGGCAGCCATTGGTTCGCTGCAGCCCCGGTCTAGCCCCATCGGCCAAACTGCTAGTGAGAGGTACTCCGGACAAGTACCTGAGGTACTCGTACTGCTGCAGCACAGGTGGTGGTACCTTGGCTGCTTGGGTGGTTGCAACTTGCAAGGGAAGGGAAGGAGCCTCCAAGGCCAATGCATGCCGGGATCCAAGGATGATGGACATGGCATGATAGGTACTTGTACAGTCCGGATGGACTTGCCTCTTAAGTCAACTATCCCCACGCAAATCGACAAGCCTCACTCCTACACGCTGCATGCCTCATACATATACAATCTTTGCAATCCCCTCCTCCATCGTGGAGGCCTTTTGTCTTTTTTCCTTTCTTTTTCTTTTTCCTGGCCGGCCGTTGCCACAAAAACGCCATAGGCCCTTTAGCCTTCCTTAGCCCGCTACTTGTTCAACCCCCAACACCCGGCGCGAGCAAATCCAGCGACACAAAGAGAAAGCGAGCAACGCACGCAATCCGCCAAACAGCAAACTCGAATCGCTTCTTTTACTTCGGGCCAACGCAGCGACACTTGGTGATACTACCATGCCTACCCACAGCTCCACCCTTCCTATCGCCCGCGCCTGGTAGGAGTTGGAATCTTCCGCGCAATCTCACTCGGTCTCTTCAATCCTGCGTCCTCCCGCCCTGCTCGCCGGTTCTGGTTCTGGTTCTTCTTCTTCTTCTTCTTCTTGATACCCTGCGCAGTTGCCTTTTTGCGCTACTATTTTATACATACCGCAACCCATCTCAACCCCATCTCTGGCCACTACTTGCTCGCCGAGATGACCAAATTAACAAAGCGGCTGGACTTCCACAGGGAGTCGGGTGGACTAGGACTGCTTCGTTCCCACTCACGCGCCAAGGCCGTCGAGACAGCCAAGGCCAATGAGTCCGCGGCCGAATCCGAGGACTCAGCCAAAGACAAGAAGCAACAGCGGTCACGATCATGGTTTTCCCCCCATAGGAGAAAAGACTCCGTCGCTTCTACGATTCTGCGCAGCACCAAGAGCCTTCGCCGCCTGTCAGCAGTTTCATCGTCCGCCTCATCACAACCCGCAGTCTCGACACCAACTACCCCTTCCTTCTCGCGCGGCAGTTATGAAAGCGATGCCGCTTTCCATCACAGGAAGCTTTCCTCTGTTGGTAACAGTGAGAGAAATGCGACGACATCAGAACCTGCTCCGACAGACCCGCCTTCAATTCCTTACCCTCCACACCGACCTGAGCGGCCCGAGGAAGACCTTTTCGAAGGCACAGTTATGGAAAAGAGCAGTCCGTCTGGTCACCGCCCCAGTCGGAGCCGCAGCATACTGCGGCCATTTTCACCCTTCCCTGGCCCTTCCATCAGAGACATGCGGCGCCTCAGCCAACAATCTGAGCACAAGCTGCAGGCAAACACTACCACAGCGGCAGTCACCACCACCACCGCCGTGGCCAATCAGCTTTCGCAGGAAGCCGACCAGGCGCACGAACCCACAGATGCAGGCACAAATGTAGCTTCGTCCAATGCATCCGTATACTCTGAGGCCACACCGGTGCCGGTAATTCCTGGTCGCCGTTCCAGCTACTGGGCCACTAGCCATGGGTCTGTGTCTGCCGTGGCGCGCAAACCATCTGTTTCCAGCTCCTTTCACTTTCCCATGCATAGACGACCAAGTCAAGCGACGGCTGATATAGAGTCACGCAAACATGCACGGTCCTCTCGGTGGACCCTGACAGAGAACATGGCAGAGATGTTCAAAGCACAGCATTCAAAGACTGAGAAGGCTGAGAAAGCTGAGAAAGCCGAGAAAGCCGAGAAAGCCGAGAAAAAGCCCATGACGCCTTCCCAAATCGAGGCCATCTGGAACGGCCAAGACAACAGCAAGGCTGCGAACAAACAAAAAGCCAAAGAAAGACGCAAGAAAGCAGCGTCGGATACTTCTGCCATGATGCCCCGTCATTTTGGAGGCCCACTTACAGAGCAGGAACAAAGCCCAGTGTTCCGTGACTCTTTCCAGTGGCCAGACAGAGGGGCGTCGCCTGTTCCAATGAGCAGGGCTGACATTAAAATGAGGGCTCTGCCATTTGAAATCACTGTCCCACCACCTCATTCGGCAATTATCTCTCCGGAAATCATCCACGGCGACGTCTCACCAAAGTCTCCTTCAAAGGTTGATAGGGACAGGATTCTGCCTGGAAAACTGCCATTGCCACAGCTATTACTTCCGGAGACAGAAGAAGCCATTGTTGAAGACGACGACGCTTCATCAACCAGCTCGATACCCATGGTGCCCCCCAAGAATCCGGCGAGATTTGTGGCCAGAGCTCCGACAATGCCACTATTGCCTCCTATACCAGAGGGCTTCCGATCTGCCTCGGATAGCAATAGGAGCTCAAAAGCATCTGGCCACCGTCGAAGCCACAGCTGGAACCACGCCTCAGAAGTAAAAGACGGGACTACTCAATACAACAGCACCCCTTTCACCGGGACCAGCCCGTCCTTCCGACACGGGCCCATTGTCCTCAGTGACGCTGGCAGTCGCAACTCGGTGGCAACGGTAGAGGCAGTGGAAGGCGATCGTGATGTTGATTGGACGGCATTCCAGACGGCAATTCTGGGTGGTGCCGCCGAAGACTTGGACGGGCTGTTCCCGGAAGAGCCTGTACAGGCAGATGAAGAGGAGAGTCATATGGCCGAAGAGGTAACCACTTGGTTTGAAGGCTTTGGCTTCGAAACTCCCGGCGAGCTCATCGCCTCGGAGAAGAAGTCGGAGCGATCAGCACAGCGAGACTCGGCGGGCAGCATGACATCGGCTGCATCAACACCTTCTACAGTGGAGACGGATGCTGATGCGGAGCTCAAGACACCTGTGAGCGCTCAAGAGCAACACCACATCTTTGACACCATTAAGCAGCTTCGCAACGGTTGCGAGAGCACCTATAGCGCTAGCATCTATACAACGGACAGCATGGACGGTCCTTGGCCAGCGGCAGCCGAGGGCGAGACGGAGGGCGAGGGAGCTGGGGGCTCCAAGCAGGCCATGTCGTCCCATGGCCTCGAAGCATTCCTGGGATTCAAGGTTGATGACACGTATTGAAGTGTTGCATGATATACCGGGGGATATTGTTTTTGATCTACATTTTTGCATGATGTGATGGCTTGGGATCTTGGTTGAATCATGTGCCAGACGCCGCATTTCATTTCCTTTGTCAATTATATACCATGGCATGAGCTTGGAAGTTAAGAGCTGAGTCGGTCTTTATGGAGGCAGATACCAGTTGTTGAATGATACCACAACGCGAACAGCGATTTATTTGTCCAAGCCGGCGTGTAATATTTTATGCTGCTATTGTGTAAGATGTGTTGAGCCTGGGTTGTAATAATAGTAATTGAACCAAACCAGATGTTGTATCATTATTAAAGCTGTGAATTGCGTCTACGTGATCTAACAAATCATCAAAGAAGTACCTCCTATACTACCTACCGTAGCTGCCCCAGTCGTCCCCCCACCATGGCTGTGATTGCCGTGGCGCATTAGCTGGCGGCGCTTGTCTCTAACCTCACTTGATCCCATCTCACCTTTTACACCCTCAATCGCCAGTGAACAAACTTCACCTTTCAACATCTGCACAGATCGTCAGGAGAATTTCGCACATTTCCTATCTGAGCTCCTTCTATTACAGCACTCAACGGTATTACTCTTTGCAGTCGTTGTTATTTCTGATACACCAAGAAAGCCTCAGTACGACAAACAGGGCGCGTTCTCTAGGAAAGGCACATACAAAAGGGTACAAACAGAGTCGACAATAAGCAGCTTCATCAAGAAAAAGACTCAGTCACGGGGCTTCTTTACCAACTGTTCAAAGGGAATACTTGTCCGCTTTTCTTCCCTTTGAAAAAGGTAGCATAAGAGAAAAGAAACGAAAAAAAAAAAACAATGCTCCGCCGCCCGCCGACAACGCTCCAAATCACGGCCGAGGACATCGCCGCGTACGAGGACCGGCGCGCGAACGAGGCGCTGCTGGCGGCGCAGCAGGCTCACGCGGCAGAGGTACAGGCGCGGGCCACGAGCAAGGCTGGGGGCGCGGAGGCGGCGACGCAGCAGACGACGGCGGCGATGGGGGATCTCGGGCTCGGGCAGGCGATGGAGGGCGTGCAGGAGGACGCGGAGGGGAGGGCGAGGAGGACAAGGGAGGAGAGGAATGAGAGGATTGGGATGGGGAGGAGGGCGAGGTGAGGAGGAGGAAGTGTTTGAGAGAGAGGTAGCATATGGGACGTGGAGGTATAAGATTTGCAGGTGGTTTTATCCTATTATGATTATGATTATTGCCTATTGTTTTTGAAGTCCTGTAAAGTATATAGAAAAAAACTGACACAAACGATGGTACACTCCGGTATTGAATGCTTGGTATAAACCTGTTCTAGCCATTTGTCCCGAATGATGCATCTCCTTCCCGTCCGGTTTGCCAAAAAACACACATAAACAAATTTTCCCCAACATCGATAATTAAGTACCTGGTAAAAAGTAATGCAATGCAATGCAGCATCTACAGCCCCCGTCCATATGCAGAAAAAAAAAGAATAAAATACAAGACTTCGTTCATTCTATCTCATCTTTCGCCAAGTCAAAAATTGGGCAACTTTAGCCGTTCCGTATCAGGTAGATCCAAATCAGTACCGCGATCCAAGTTACTCTCCACGTCGTCGTCCACATCTCCGTGACCATGACCTTGACCGAGAACCGATCCCCCCTGCCGGTCGTTGTTTTCCACGACGTGCTGGTGTCGTAGTAGTCTTCGTTGATCGTGATCCGCGGCCACTTGCCGTCGGCCAGGCTCCGTCGAGGTCTGTGTTTGCCCTTTTTGCCAGCCCAGCGCGTGCTGCCGGCGCCGTTGCTCGAGCTAGACGAGGGCGTGATCGGCGGCTCAACCTTGTCCTTGTAAATGGGGAGGCTGGCGCCCCTTCGTTCGGGCGGAAGGGCAAACGGGGTGAGGCGCAGGACGGGAACGAAGAAGGCCCTGACGGCGAGGAGGATGAGGGAGAAGACGCAAAATGCGACGTAATTCATGTATTTAACGAGTTGGTTTGGTAATAGGCAAAGATGGGTTTGCACCGTCTTCTCGGGCGAGCCGGGGAGGGGCTTGCCGTCCTTGTCGATTGGGTTGTAGAGACTGACCATGAGAAAGCCTGGGGTCGGCACTCCCTGCGACATGCTCATCGTCTTGACGGTAATCTCCCGCACATTCTCTTTGGCGTCAGAGTGCACGAGTTCGCAGTAGTCGTGGTCGTCGCCCGAGAAGGCATGAACGACGTTGCCGATGCTCTTGACGAGCTTGACGGAATCCTCTTCCGAAAGCACGTTCTGGTATTGGTATCCGGCTACCACTGATATAGCATTGGCAGGATCTTTCTCGTCGGATCCTTTCTTCTGTGGCCAGTGCTCACGTTGCGGGCCACAGGGCGTACCAGGCTCACGATAGAGAGGAACATGAGTAAGGAGAAGCGTGGGGAAGTCAGCAGCGCCCGGCCCAGGATCTCTTGACCACCGGGTCAAGTCTGCCTTGTCTAGCTCCTCGACGTGGTGCTTGAACTTGATCTCCCGCTCAACGCCGTACCAGAACTTCAGTTCGTTCTGCGCCATCTTCCGCTTTGTAGACTGAACACCGTCCAGGAACTCGTGGACGGGGCCGTAGATGGACGACAGATCATGGCTACCCCTCTGAGTAGACGTTCCCGCGCTCAGGGAGACGGCGTCGACCGAGACAATGGTGTGGTTTCCCACAACGTCGACCCGGTTTCCGTCTCCAAAATACGCCTGGTAACGGTCTCTTACCGGCACCTGGACCATGGCGCCGAAGCCGAGGTCATGGTTTCCGGGCAAGCTCGCCACTAGCTTCCTGCCTCTTTGCCAGGGTCCCGGCGAACTGCCCGCGATATTCCAGTTGTCGAAGAAAATCTCCCCAAAGCGTTGGTACTCCTTGAGCCAAAAGTCGTCGCCGTACTTTCGATGCCACGTCTTGACCCATCTCTGCTCCTTGGCCGTGCGCCCACGCACTCCCCATTTGGGATCGACAAAGAGGCCCTGCCTCGTCTTCCACTCGCGGCCGCCCTCTAGCATGTCGCCCAGGAAGAACAGGCTGTCCGGGTGCAGCGTGTGCAGCAGCGCATTGTAGCTCTGCTTGAGATATCTGTCGGTGATGGTGACGACGGTGGCCAGCACCGCTGATGGCCAGTCGGGGTTGGTGTGAGGATCGAGGATTTGCGGATCAGCGACGAGGACGAGGTGATGGGGAGTTGCGCCTTTGGGCTGATTGAGTTTTTGTGAGTTAGCCATTGTCTCTTTTCACTATTATACATATATATTCCATAGGCATATTCAAGGAAGGGGGGCCATCGATATCAAAGGCACAAAACTCACCCACTTCTCCCAGCTCTTCCAGTTGCAGACGTTGACATGGTTAGTGTAGATCCAGCGCTCTCCCCATAACAAGAGAAGCATCCAGAAAAAGGCCAGCAGGTGGGGGAAGCTCAGCAGCCTCTTGGCCGTCATGTTCCGCCGCACCTGGCGCATCACCGCGGCGGCGACGATAGCGGCCCTGTGCATGCCCGGCCCTTTGATCCATTTCCACAGCAGCTGCAGCAAGGTGGCGATGCCGCTGTAGATCTCCTCTGCCACGGAGAGGTTGGAGGGGGGCATTTTGAGCCCCAATTGCAGCTCGTCGACGCGTAGCCAGCCAGTCTGTCTGCCAGTTGACGGGACGGGGGTTGGGCTGGTGGGATGTAATCGTAGATATCCAACTGGATATTGTATGTATGTATGTATGTATGGATGGATGGATGGTGGCAGATGATGACAGCACAGTCGGTGTTGCAAAAGTCCGGGGTCTGTGCAGCAGTGCCTCGAACCCCGTGCTGGGGCTGGTCTTTGAAAGGAACGGACAGGACAGGACAAGGACGAGAAGCGCTTCGCTCAATCAATCAATGCAGGGACCGCATGATAAGCACAGGCAAGCCATCCGAGATGCGTCAATGGCGATGCGATGGGAGGCGGCGGTTGAGTTGCATCAAATCAAATGGGAAGACGATCAATTTGATGTCTGGTTGGGTACAGGCTCATCTACAGTGCTCGTACAGTGATATGGGGGGGAAAATATGCTCCGAGACACAGGCGAGTTCTGGGCCTGGGGCGGGGCCGCTAGCAGCCTCTCCCTCCCCTAATCCTCCGCGCTGAACCCTGAAGTTATAGGAGTTGAGGCTTCTGGGGGCAGCATTGGATGTACCTAGGCATATTGAGCACATCCATGGCCAACATGTGAACGTGCACTTACATGCACTGCACATACTTCAATGACAAAACAACCTGCTATTAAAGCATATTCGTAAGCAAATTGGTACTTCATACAGCATGATTCCCACGTGCCGTCATGATGCTTCCTCTTTCCCCTCAATTCTTTGATCCGCCGGGGTGGTTGGGTAGCACCGGACTTCGATTTGTTACCCCGTACTAGGCAGGTGGCTCAAATTGGATAAAATCAATACTTGACTCTCTTGCAGCCCAAGTAAACGAGAATCCAACAAGGGCTGTCCCAACTAAATACTAAGGAGATATATAAACACTAACAAGACGTAGCCTATCATAGCTCAAATTGCCCGCTTGGCTAAGCGGTATAGCGTGTCACTAGTAAATACTTGACATGACAAGGTGATCAGTTCGACTCTGATAGTGGGCATTCATTTTTTGCATTTTCCATCATTGCTTCCCCTTTTTTTCTTCTCTTTACTTGTTCTCAAACTTTAAGGCGTGCCTAACATGGTCTAAGGGTTCAATTATAATTTCATCAAAGGTGGCATGTGAACAATTGTCCTTAAGGTGCAAATTCATGTCAAGCACCCAAAAAGACATGCATGTATGTATAGTGAACAGATACAATCTCTCTTTTTCTACCCATCCTCCTCATATGGAGTCCTGTACTATCATGTCCAAATATCCAAATATCCAAGGGGAAAAAAGGTATCTAGAGCCATCCATATGCTCGATCGAAAGATTCCAGAGGCTACTCATAAATACGCCAAAATGCCATTACAAGACTTTTTAAATACCCATCCCCCAAACTCATAAACACGAAGAAGAAGAAGAAGAAGAAGAAGAAGAAGAAGAAGAAGAAGAAGAAGAAGAAGAAGAAGAAGACTTTGTATCACGCCTCCAAAGTACCGATATATACCATCTCTAGTATCTATCGTCATACATTTCACTGTCATCGTTACCCATCTCTTCCGTTGGCTCTCCTTCAAGCTCTGCGGAAGGAGCCTTGGGTTTCTTTTTAAAACTAAGGAACCTCTTGATGCCAGTTGGCTCCGCCGCTTGGAACAGGTCGTCCTTGGACGAATATTCATAAAACAGTTTGGGCACCAAAATTCGGTATGGGACGGTAATGCCTGTGGGGTCTTTAGGGCTAACCTCCATGTTCAGAGAGATGTCCAGGCCTCCCTCCAGGTTAACCTCGTGCTTGTCGGCTTGTTTCATCTCTTTTGTTGACAGCCCGGTAGGTGTTCGATGGAAAGGGCGAGGCACCGATGGGTCATCCACTTCGTAACCGCCAGCAGGGCCGGCGTGGTAGTTGACGGTCTGCGCTCGTCGAGGCGTTTGCGCCATGAATTGGGCCTCATCGCCCGCCGAGAACTCATCGTAATCACTACCACCACCTCCACGGAGGCCCGAAGGGCGTGGTTGTTGGCCCTGGGCTCGGTGGTCTATGTATCCGCCATCAAACTCGCCGCTCCATTGACCACTCATATTGTTTTCCTCGAATTGACCCTGGCTACCATAGTGTCCGTGGTATGTCATGTCAGCCCTTTGCTGCGCCGCCTCTCCGCGACCAAGCGACATTGTTCGAGTCACTCCACCTCCGGGACGTTGTTGATCCACCGAGTTTCGTCGAGAAAAGTTCTTGAAGAGGCCACCTCCTCCGGAAATAGGAGGCCGAGGTCCACGCACAGATTCTCGTGAAACATCAAAGGGTTGTTGCGAAGTAGACTTTCGTCGCCTAGAGGACAGTCTTCGGAGCAAACTTCCACCTCCTCCTGGGCTTCGACTTCTTCCTCGGTCAGACATGGGTGGCGTGGGTGGCGGCGTGCTGCCTGGGGTCCACATGCGAATAGAGCACCAGTTGCGATGAGGCAGGAGATTCTTGTTGTTCCTCGGCTTGCCATCGACGCCATTTTGGAAAATCGGAATCATGCATTCATCTGTCTGCTTGTCAAAGTGATGGACCTTGTTGCGCTTGTTGAGCATGTCGGCAACAATGTCCGGGGGCGGGCGATTGACGATAGCAGAAGACACAATATTGGGCATGTACCTAGGGTCCTTGTGCTTCGGTAGGCCCAGCTTGGGGTTGGAATAAAACTGGCCAATGGCACCAAGGTGAACATCGCCACTCAAGATGGTGATTCGAACAGATCGGTCGATAGCCAAATCTTGCAAATCCTCGATGATGATTGTGCGTTCCTTTTTATGATTCTTGGCTGTCCAGTGGTCATTGAGATCATCCAGAATCTCATAGCCGCCGTCAATATTGTTCATATGTTTACCAAGCACTCCTGTCCTGCCAAGCGCTTTGACCGGAGTCATCAATTTCGAGGTCAATCTAGAAATGTTAGTAAGGGAAAGAACAGAAAAGGGGAAGGATTTTATCCAAGGAACAATCGGCCACTTACATATTCTCCAGCCATACCAGACGGGGATAGGCAATAGGGACACCCAAGAGCACAAGTAGGTGCTCCACTTGTCCCCGTCTGATCTCTGCGTACATCCTGCTTGTAATTTTCTCCCACGTCTTCTCATCCAAGACCGTGTCTTCGGTTCTTTCGGTGCGAGCGTCGACAGCAAGTAAGGCAACCTTTCCACCCATCGACATATACAGACTGTGGCTAACCTCTTGGATGTAGGGGCCCGGCTGCTCACCCAAGATCCAGCTTGGTTCAGAAGCTTCCGTCTCGGTCACAATGCTTTGATGTTGGAAGAGCATGTAGTATTTGAACCCCACACGCCCCAGCCCAGAGAATACAGGTGAGCTCATGTCCGGGTGAGAGTAGGAGCCGTATCCGTCGAAAATGTCATGGTCATCATACATGTTGACCATGGGGATTTGCGAGGTAGCCAATCCGAACAGGCCTTGTGAAAACCAGGTGCAATATCGCTCCAAGTAGAAAGACTCCAGCTCGGCCTGCAACTCAGGCGTGAAGGCTGCGTTCAGTTTCTTCTCTGCAACGTTAATCTGCAGCCATTCGTCAAAGAGGGGACTGTCGTAGGCGACGCAGTCGTTGTAAATCTGGTCCCCTCCGCCAATCATGGCATGGAATGGCTGTGTCTGATGCGCGTTCAACACATCGCGCCACATGGGGTCAGGTCCGCTCATCTCATTAGAATTGACGGTAAGACTGAAACCGTTGCAAGTATAAAACATCATGTTCATTGTTTGCCCACGTGCGGGAACCCAGAAAGCCATGGCTGGGCCACGGTTAATGCGGTATGCGATTCGCTGCTGCAGTTCCCGAAGCTCAACTTCAATGTTGAACCGCCAGAACGTACAGCCTCGTTCGGCATGAAGACGGAAGCCCCTCACGTCCTTGTACTTTTGCATCTTCTCCCCGTCGATATCTACCCGTCCTCGGCGGCTAGCGAAAGATCCAGGATAGTCGTTGAGCCCTTGCGGCAAAGGCTCATCTGGCGGACTCCTTGTACTCTCAAACAAGCCATCCTCAGACTCGACATGTGACAAATCTCTACCCTCTTCAAGGTGGTCCACAGGCCGAACATATAGTGTCTCACCACGGCGACCAAGTTTGGGATGCCCAGCGATGGGATCCACATACTCAGGTGAGAGTTCGCCGTCGACCTGGTGTGGAGGTGGAGGTAACAATTCAACATCCTGTACAAAGAGCCGAAGCGTCGGTGCAATTTCATAGGATGATTCTGCATCATTGGTGACAATCATGACGCTTCCCCTCCAAATCTCACGATCTTGAGCAGCATTTGCACCCCGAGGCCTTGGTAGAGCTTGTTCGTGGCGCATGCCGCAGTATCTCAGGAGCGGGCCGCATTTGAGATACAAGGCTGGTTTGAATCGAGTGGGTGCGCCATTCGTATTGTCATATTCACCATCAAACGCTTCGGCCTTGCGCGGCCTCGTCGTCATGCTGGCGTTTCTTCTGTGATGGCCTCCTTGCTCCCTGTCCCCCCAAGCGCCGATCTTCTCTACTGATCCAGCAGAAATACCGCCATTGAGGTCGAGAAGATTGCCGGATAGAGTACCGACGGTACCCTTCTTCCATTCATCTAACCACTGAGGAGAACTGTAGAGGCCATCGCCAGGGTGCATCTCTGCTGGGTTCTTGAATACCAATCTTGATTCGTGATGCTCCTCTAGCTCTTGTGACTCCTGTGACATGTGTGGCATTGGCATTGGTGGCTGTAGCATTTGGGGCTCTTGTGGCATTCTGATTGCCCTCTGTTCCTGTGGCATGCGTGGCATTTGCGGCTGTAGCATTTGTGGCTGTGATATTTGCGGCTCTTGTGGCATTCTCGTTGCCCTCTGTTCCTGTGGCATGTGTGGCATTTGCGTTTGTGGCATTTGCGGCTCTTGTGGCATTCGCATGGCCCTCTGTTCCTGTGGCACGTATGGCACTTGTGGTTCCTGTGGCATTCGCATGGCCCTCTGCTCTTGTGGCACGTATGGCACTTGTGGTTCCTGTGGCATTCGCACTGCCCTCTGTTCCTGTGGCATGTATGGCATTTGTGGTTCCTGTGGCATTCGCATTGCCCTCGAATCCTGTGGCATATGCGGAATCTGTGGCTCCTGGGGTTCCTGGGGCTCCTGTGCGTCCTCTATTAGATCGTGGCCCGTCTGATCTTCCAAGCTCTTTGCTGCTGGGCTCGATTGTGGAAAGCGTCCTCGGGCTTTTTGACTCGCCTCGTAAATGATCCTGCCAATGGCAGCCGCGGGGGCATAATCGGCGTTAAGCCCCTTCTCTTCCCGGGCATAGATGGGCTCAGTAGCCCGCCGTTGCATAGCCTGGATCTCGGCCTCGGTAGCAGACTGGGAAGGCCTCTTTGTTTCTGGCCGGGCATTCGTTCCATTGTTTGCCGCAAGAGGTAACGGGGCCGGCTCTCTGTTACGTTCTTGTGGTAGCGGTGCTGTCCCTGCTGCGGCCTTGGGAGACTGGGTCGAGTCTTTGTATTGAGCCTGGTCAGGCTGTGCCCCCGGTGGCAATCGTCGCTCTGCTTCGACGCGTATCCGGTGCCAGACATCTGCTGGGGGATCCTTTCTTAACTTGTTGCTTCCACTGCGCGTCAAGGAAAAGCCGCTGGATTCCTTTGTGGGCTGGTTCACATCTGCGTCAAGGGGCTTCGCTTCACGCCAAACATCGCGTTCGCGGAAGCTGAGATTGCGCTTAGGAGCATCGGCCTCTGGAACAAATTGTCTCTGGTCCATGCTGGCCCGAGGCCGCTGAGGAGACTCTTGGCTAACGTATCGGCGTTGATCATCGGGCCGGGGAGCTTCCTGTGGATAATATCTGCGCTGCTCATCGCGTATGGGTGGTTGAGGCAATTGTCTTGGTTGAGGATCCTCACGTACAGGCGGTTGAGGTAATTGCCTCGGTTGGCGCTCCTCACGCACCGGTGGCTGCGGTAGTTGTCTAGGCTGACGGGGGGCCTGATCCTGGTTCTGACGGTAGTATTGGTCTTCGGCCACTCGTCGTGGGGGTGATATCGGTTGCATGCCCGAATCTTTGGGAGGGACAGCATCTCGCTGGGGCGTTGTTCTCTGAGGAACTGGGCTGATTGGCTCAATCGCCGCCGGGGGTTGTTGTTGGCGTCGGCTGGGAGCCGAGGGCGAGGACTGATAGTCGAGGGTTTGAGGACGGCTTTCCCCAGACTCAGCGGCAGCCTTCTTCGCAGCCCTCGCTCTGGCTCGCTGTTCTGCAACTTCCACTCTTGCCCTCTTCTCCTCTTTGGTCATGCTGTCGAGCGTCAGCTCAAGCCTCTGGAGGGGTGATCGATTGTCTGTTAACTTTTTGCGCCGTTCGCCCTGCCCCGTTGTTGCGCTTCTTTGGAGCTGAATAGACGCAGTACTATCTGTGCGGGTAGGCACATTATCGCCAAACAGCAGTGGTACGTCTCGCTGAGATTCGTTTGCGTAAGGATCGCGGTAGTTTGTAGGTGGCCCTCGAATTATAGTATCCGTGGCAGAGGGAGCTGGAGAGGCGGCACCGAACTCGTCGGGGATGCGATTTGACCGTCGATCTTGCCTGTCGTATCCTTCGTACGTTTGCTCTTGAGGAAACCCGAATCCACGATATGATGCCGGTCTGGGAGCCAGACCTTGGTACTCAGCTGCCGACGTCGGGGAGTTGGGACTGAAAGTTGTGTCGGTGGGAGCCTCGGTGTAAGTTGTCTGGATTGAGGCACGGTTCGCCTTGCGTTGCGGCTGGACGTCTAGCGAGCGTCGCTGGTCGTTTTGCGAGAATTCATTAGTGTAGTCTGCCGAGACTCGTCGGCTTTGGACGCCCTTGGGCTGGGGCAATGCACCCCAATATGGCGCAGACATGGTCGAGGTTCTTGGATATTAGGATGTAGCGAAAACACCAAGCATAGGCTCGCGCCTAACACGGGACACAGGGAGATGACGGTTACCCGCACGCTGAGCCCAAAGACGCCACGAGAATGTTTTTAGTGCCGTGATGGAGAGTCCAAAAAGATGATTCAATACTCGATTTACCCGAGAAGCAACAGGCAGGCGTAAGGGAGATTGCCTCGATTAGCTGCTAGGGCTCATGCAGCTGTCCAGGCTGTCACCACGGTACTCGTACGCTACCGGGAGGAGTACGCAATGCAGAAATGCGCAGACTAGAGATGCGGGCAGATGCTGTCGTCGCTCCTTTTGTTGTTCGTGATGGATGTCAGCGCAAGGGGAGGAAAAGATTTCCGTCGGTTTGCTGGCACAAGCTACTGCTCCAAGGTCCGTCCGCGAGCCGGGGTCTGGAGTGGCTTGGGTGCTAGATGATGTCTGAACGAGTCGGCCAGCCTGCCCAGGGCCCTGCGATTGGAGCCCAATTGATCGAGCGGTGGGACGAATGAACGCAGAGCCTGCGATCGAACGAAGAGGCGGTCGGGAGCTGCAGGACGAGGTGGAGGAGCTAGTGGAGGCGGCCAGGGAGCTCGCGAGAATATGGGTGGCTGGAGGTGATGCTTGAGCAGCGGTACGATGCAAGGCACCGGGAGAGAGGCCACGCATTTGCTGCGGCTGAGGACCAGGGAGAAACGGGGCGGAGCTGAATGTGAATAGCTTTTGACGGATCACAGCTGCAAGGACTCCATAGCAGTCTCGATATGCTTTTTTGTGAGCTGAAGCTGGAGATGTGGATGGAGTATCAAGTGGTTGGTGGCGAGACATGACAATACGTAACTGACGGCATACCGCCAAAGCTTAGCCGCCAGGTGGTCCAGAGCTGCCAACTCCCATCAGCCAAGCTCGTTCCCTTTTTCCATTTTCCATCCTCTCAAAAGCCGAGCCAAATTTCCAATGCTGTCATTTATTCAGTTAGCATCTGCGGGCTGGGCCGAGCAGCAACATGCGTCCCCACAACGATCATGGGCCATTTGGCGCCATCTTGTGTTCGTCTTACTGCTAATGCCCAATTTGATAGGCCCTAGTCAAACCGCGGGCGCCAGCCACCAGCCACCAGCCACCTGTGGATTGGGGAGCAAACAAACAATTGCCAGCCACCTAAATAACGACAAGGGGTTTCCCCTGGTCAACAGAGAGTGTGTGCTCTGTGCTTGATTGGGACTTTTCTTGAGTTTTGTTCCCTTTATCATTGGAACCGCAAGCAAAAAGAGGAGTAAAGGGCAAAAAAAAGAACTGCTCTCAGGGCACTGGAGATTTGCTCCCGGCAGGGCTTGAACCTGCGACCTTCGCATTACCAAGATTTCGCTGTGAGGCGGAAATATTAGTACGAAGCTCTAACCAACTGAGCTACGGAAGCCCTGGATTAGTCATCAGATGACTCCAATTGTTGATTGGAAGATGCAAATGCTATGCTATAACCTTTATCTTACAGTAGAAAAAACTCAGTAATGATGTTCAATAGAGCCCAACACTTGGAAACAGGACAGTGTTCAAATCGGAGAGCTTGATTACGGCATAGATTCTGGAACGTTGAAACCGGTTTTCTTGTTGAAGTGCCATCATCGAGTACTTTTACGTAGATCAATTCTTTGTTTTTGAACAACGGTTCTTTAACACACACTTGGCTGCTATGCTACCCGTGAGCCAGGTTCAAAGCGCCGTAGTTCAGAAAGATTGAGTCGATGATCATATGAGCTGAGTATAGAATAAGAGTTTATTTCAAAAAAAAATTCCCAAACATAAATAATATCTTTGAATCAGGCGTACTAGTATAGGTACAGGTACTCTCAAATCTTCATTTATTCAAGGCAACTTTACTATTCCAGTTGTCATCAGCCAAGGTGCAGAAAAACATCAAATCCTATTCAAGAAATACCTTCACAGCCCAGCTAACTGAGCGGCAAGCTCTCGAATATTGCTCTTGGTGACTACATGGGCACCGCTCGATGGTACGTCGCCCGAGTGTATAACCCCCACATTAGACAGCACTGATATCACGCAGTCTCCCTCTTTTTTCCACCACAAAGCCGCTGTGAAGCCCAGCACGCCACCAAAGTGACCCAGCCATCCGTGTTTCTCAGAGTCTCGCATCCTGAAGAGTCCATGGCCCATTTCGGACGCCGCGCTCGAAGTTGGTCGCCACATCTTCATAATAGCAAGCGATTCCGCACTGAGCAACCCCCATCTCGAACGGCAGTGGCGAATTTGACACGATCAGAGGGCGTGGAAACCATGCCACCGGCTGTCCACCCGAAGGAAAGGTTAGATGCCGTACAGTCAATGAGCTTGCCGTCCTGAAGCTTGGGAAAAGCTGCATTGATTCCCGCTGCCTCACGGTATTCCTCTGTGGCAAAGTGATGGCGCTTTGTCATCGTGCCCTGGTTCTGCTCTTCAAACCCCTCTAGAAAAGTGTGGTCCATACCGAGTGGCTCGAGGGTTCGTCGGCGGATTTCGGCCTCTGCCGTGTTCTGCGTAATCTTTTCAACCATAAAACCGAGAAGCTCGTAGTTTGTATTGGCATAGTAATAGTTACCACGCTCAGGGGCGGTCAATCTTGGGCGGCGAATGTAATCAAGAGGCTCGACTTTGGTTCATCTATGAGCTGGATTCAACTTGCTGCCACGTCCTGCCTTGATCCAAATTGGGTCATCTTCCCAGTTGTCAATGCCCGTTTCATGACTTAAGAGCAAGTCAACGTTGGCTTCGGCCGCATTATCAATATCACGGTATATTTCGGGGTCAAGAAGCTGGCTGACAAGTGTCTGACAATTGCAGCTTTCCTTCTTCTATAAGTTGGAAAATGACCACGGCCGTGAATACTTTGGTGATGCTACCAACGCCAAACAAGTGAGTGGCTGTGATGGGCTGCTGGCTCTCAAGATCCGAAACACCGGCGACAAAGGTCCAGCGGCCACGGGATGAGGTTATCGTGGCGGGGAGACCAGTCACTCCAGCTGCGACGCTTTCTTGAAGTATCGCATCGATTTTGGAGAGGCAGTCTGCTTGAGTAGTATCCTCGGAGACCATGGCCGCTGGATCGTGTCTTTTAGTATCGTGTCGATGATTATCACTGATGCTTGCTTCTTTTCTTAGATTAGAGACAAATCAGAATACATATATGTAAGGTAACCAGCTGCTCCCCAGCCTAATAGAGATGTTCTAAAAGTGTTGATTTCCTTGAGACAATGCATGCCGAACAAGGCCAAGTCCATGTAGTTATAGTTGTAATTTGTCCCATATATGACGTGGAATTAATGCGGTAGAAGTAAATATCCTTGTGACAAACTTGTGTTTGCAATAAGAGAGATGTATCTATACTGTGCAGCCTCATCAGAAATATAGTTGAGCATCTAGTGATTATTGCTAGCCTCTCGCTTGTGCACTTCAGTCATCCTACGAATATCCACTTCCCAGTAGTTTCTGCTTATACTTGTAGAGGGCGTAGCAATTAGAACATGGCTCGTATAGGGCGTGGCAGGCAAATGCTTGAGAATATACTCGTATAGGGCGTCACATACAACAAAAGTGCCGTTATAACTGTATTAACATCTACTAATATAAAATTCATACTCACTCCAATCTTAGCACCTGCACACCTCACCTAAACCAGTCAAATGGGTAGATTTAAGCCTACTTCATATTGTTTAGAGGAGGGAAAGCGATTCTGCCATCTTAAAGGAAAAGCAAATCTAAGCTAAGCAATAGGCCATGCTCTTATGGTGGTGTACGATGATTGTCATATTTTGACTCCGGAAATAATCAAGTTGTTAGCGGCAGCTTGGCTACGACAGCCTCAATAGCCCTCGCGTTTTCAGAAGAGAATGGTTGCGTGATTCACGAAAGACTCTCAGTTTTGCACATCAAAGGTGAACTCAGGATCCGAAAACCAGGACGACGAGGCGAGCTTGAAGATTCTAGTTACTTAACTTAGATAATATTATCCCTAGAGCAATACATCCCGTCAACTAACGTGATCTTCTATTATTCTTTATATATGTGAGTGAATCAATGGTCTCCTTCTGGATCTTGTTCCAACACTTCTGCTTCGCGAAGTCGCTGGGACACTGGCTAGCATTTCCCTAAGCTATATATCTGCATATATATATATATTTCCTATGCAAGCGCAACGCTGCCTTCAACAACATTCATGTCGCGGCGATGCCGATCCTCAAGTAAGGCATTAACCTCTTCGCTCAAAGACTCGTTGGCCAACGCAATTCTTAATTTTTGTTTTGTGATCTTAAACTCGTGGCCGCGTTTTTCAAGAAGAAGAGTTATGAGAGCTGATGCATTATGACTCCCCGCTGCGGCTTCGACGATGTCCTCTGTGATCATGATATCGTCACCAAGTTTGTTAAGAAGCAGGCCTAACATGGTCGACGACCCGCTTCTTACTGCTGCGGAAACGTTGCCGATACTGACCCATATCTCGCTATTAGGGCTCAAGAGGACTTCCATCACTTCGATGTTGTATTGGTCTATGGCCATTGCGAGAGGGACTTTGGAGTTCGAAGCTCCTCTCTCAATATCCGGATGCTCATGGGTCATCATGTCACTTACAACCTTAGCTAGATTGAAATAAACCGCAAGCAGGAAGTCTGACCATCCTTCCCAGTTATGATCCGAGAGAAAGAATGGATTGAGACCACTTAACCAATTTTTTGTTTGTGTTTGAGATAAACGACAAAGCCTGCGCGCAAGCTTCCGATGTTCATCTGTAGGATTAATGTCTTGTGAAAAATGCGAAATCCAGTTGTTGGCAGCATAGGAGAAAAAGGGATATTTTTCGTCAAATCCAGCCTGATACTCGAATGGAGTACGAACCATCAGCAAGTAGTTCATACAGACTCCAGACATGAGGCTATGTGCCTTTGATATATTCAACCGTCCCTTCCATGTGTCTGATCGGTCAGAATGAAGGAGAAATTCTCTAGCTGTTTGATGAATGAATGATAATTTAGAATCATGAGTGCTGATGAAGAGGCCGCATAAGTTTCCTGGAGTTGTCTTGTATCTATCCTGCGGCCAGATACTTTTCTGTAGTAATTTATGTGACGAAACCCCATCTCCCAATGCGAGTGTAAGGGCATAGTTAGCCTCGGTGAGAGTCAACGGGCGCTCAGCAGCCAGAGTAAGCTGGAGAAGGGCCTCGGCTTTTCTATCATCCTGAATTCTGGATAGAATCTTCTCATATGCACCGGATACTGTAGAAGGTAGCTCAGACAGGAGCTCTTCTATATCCAGTCTTCTGCCATAAGAACTTGTATTTGTTTCAATAATCTCCAAAGTCAAGTGTAGCCAGAGATATGTTCGGTTCTCCATGTTTTTAAGACGCTCCGAGATCGTGTTGCGGTCATCGGTAGAAAAGCTGCGTGCTATATAGTCCACCTTTACATCGATGAAAAGGTTTATCTCTTGTCCAATCTGCCCGGATTTGGCATCGCCATCGAAGTGGACATAGGCGGGACATTCCATCAACCCATCAAATGACTTTTCAAGGTATTATAGGGTCGACTAGTAATGAGAAACTTTAACTTTGACGGAGCGGATGAGTTGGTATTGAGATATAAGTCGCATAGCTTCTTGGTCAAGCTAATCCTTCCTTCTTCTTCGCATTCGTCTGAGGCATCAAGCAGGCAGACAATTGGGACTGATGACGAATCTACACATTTCCGAAAGATTCGCCATAGTTCATCCGTTCTTTGCACAAGATCATGACTATACGTCCTGTGACTTGAAAGAGAATGTTCGATAAGCCGAGGCTGATGGCGGAAGAGTTGATGTAGTATTGCGCATAGGGCATGAGCGCTATTCTTTTTTTTGTCTTTAAAAAAGAAATAGCAGATAACGCTTCCCGACACAGTAATGGTTGAGGATGAGACTGTAACCGTAGGTGCAGTGCCTGGAACTAAATGACCTTCATCAATTAGGGATTTTGACAAGACTGATTTTCCGCTTCCGGGGCCTGCAGAAACCCAGAGAAGATCTCCGGACTTGCCATCTCGCCAATTATGGAATCTTTCATCTGCTAAGAACCAGTCGCAAGTCCCTGGAACTCTCTCAGGGTTTATGTTTTTGTATCTCTCGTAGTCTCCTCATATCCTTGAAAAATCACTTAGAAGCTTCCTCTCCCTCTTGTCTTGTCTATTCTCTCTTGAGTCTTGAAGAATCTCTTCGTGAAGGAATCGTATTTGTTGGATTTCTTGCAGCTGTTTATCCATTTTGTCCTGGATGATATCCTTGTGCACTCTGTCAACCAGGCGTAGGCATCTATTATGCAATTCCTTGATAGTCGTTATAGCGTCGGCCCAGGCATCGGATCCTGCCATGCTCTGCCAAGCACGAGAAACCTGCGGTTTCGAAAGATGGCATATAACTCGAGCCTGGTATTCAATGATGGAAGAGTATAGCTTGATCAACGGGCCTTTGAGGTCTTGATAAAACTTCATGTTCATGTCTGGTGGCCTGAAGAAGGTCTCTTCGCAAGACTTCCAAAAGATTTGCATATCGTTGATCGAGCTGAAGCCTTTCAACATGCCATCGTTGTATTTCGTGCCACTTGTCAGAAGCTAAAAACTCTAAGTAGGGGGCATCATGAGGGCATGTACGATGGAAAGGTATATATTTACCGGAAGAAGTAATGAAACTCCAGACCAAGCTAAAGCAGCATATGGCTGGGCGCTCACTGCCGATTTAACAATTGGATCGGACCAGAGTAAGAACTTTGCCAACTTCTCAATCTGTTCTCGCATCGTAATATCATGCTCCATGATCGAAATACGTATTTTTTTGCTTTGCCGAATTTCTAGAAGCATCCTCACGTAAATTTCGACGTTTGGTGGCTCTGAAAAGCTCTGGGAGGCAACAAAAACGTCATTTAACGAAGCAATATGCCTCTCATAATCCCCCATCAGCTCTCCATCGCGCTCTGTAGCAAGCGTGTAGGCTAGAGCCCAAAAGTCCTTGTCATTGTCGTAAAGATCCATGTCGTTATCTCCAGGGTCCATACTATCGTGAACGTCCATGTCACTATCGGAAAGTTCCGTGTCATTATCAAAAAAGTCCATGTTATTATCGCTGCCTAATAAGAATTAGCGGAGCGGATCATGATTGACAGACGAGGAGTCGGTATTTCACACCATTGCGAGGCCGTCGAACAGGCGGCATTGTAAGAATAAGAGGTATTTTAGCAGCCATCATCGTGGCGAGTGGAATTTTTGCAAGAACATTTGTTGAAGCCCGTGTACGGAGCGAAGTGTCTCTCTTCAATATACCTTTCGCGGAAGCTTTTAGCTTCTTGAAGAGCGGCATCTTGTTTAGACAGGCTGAGGCCACTTCTAGAATTATGAGATATTCTGTGTTGAGTGTTGAAGGACAATCTTAAATGTAATTTCAGTCAAATAGAGCCGCAAGGCTGGACAGGACATGCATTTCTGGAGCCGGTGCCCGATGAGTGCCCGATGAGCACATGCATACCTATTAATCCGACATGTTCAGCCTGACGCAATCTCTTCATACCTATTGGACCTAAATACATACAAGGTAGTGACAAAATTGTCCAAATCGGGGTTTCAAACTCCTGTCGCTAATTTTTACAGGTATACAAACTTCTGAACTCCTAAACTCCTAATTGACAATATTGCCCACCCTCTCACTCTCAACAGGGTACCTATTCAAATGATATATCCAGTCTATAACATCCTCTTCGTCCTTATCCAACTTTTATTATTCGCCCATTTAAAACATGTTTGGAAATAAAGGACGCTACGTCCATGACCAACCAGTATTCACAACTTTCAACTGAGTGTTCACCTCGCTATGTCGAAGAATCATATTGAACCACCACTTCAAACTTCGAAACGACAGTCGGATCGGCAACAGCATCAGCTCACCGCCAGGAAGACTGGTCCAGGCGCCAAACACTACCAGCCCCAAAACGCTGATGAGAGAAAGCAGTGCTACAAGCCGCACGGCGTTCATTACCAGAGATAGGAGTCCCATCGAGGATAGAGGGAACCTGCTGCTAACATGATTTTGCAGCGGAACTTCAAGTTTGTCGTCCCAGTCGGTGTAGCCTCCGACATACGTGACTACATGCGGCTGCATGACCTCGTATGTCGCTGTGCCGGTGAAATACCCCTTGGCCGCGTGCGCGTGTCTCGAGATTTTCGGCGCGGTTGAGATCATGACGCGTGTGCGGCTTCGAGTATCCCGAGTTTTGCCATAACTTGCCGACGAAGCTGTCTTTTCTTCACCAACGCAGAGGTGGCTGTGTCGATATGTCTCGCCGGGCTGGACCCATTCGAAAACGGTAATCTTGGGAGATAGCCGGATCGCGAGGTTGAGCCACCCTGCAAGCGCAACGATGTCGTGCAAAGCCTGATACGATGCTGGCGATGGCGCGTCTTCTCCGAGGGCGCCAGAGAGAGGGGATAGCATTGTTACGATTTGGGCGGTGATTTTGTCTACGCGTTTCCAGAATAAAGGCGGAACGCCGCCTGTTGCTTCAAGATACACGCGATTGGTGTCTGCCCGAAGGGCTGTACGTCGGAATCCTGCAGATTGCACATCTACGTTAGCCAAAGTCACGTCTAAATGGACACCTCAAGCAGACTCATACCTTCAACGTTGATCATAGAGCTATCCTCCATCCTTAGCAGTTCCGCATGCTCCGGCCCGGCGCCAAACAAGAGATCAGAAAAGACGTGCTTCTCCAGCATCATCATCATCACACCCGACAAAAGGGCACATCGATACGGCCGAGACCTGAGCAACTTCTCCCACTCCCCATCAGCGCTAGGCCGAGCAACCATGCGGGCGAAACTCAGAAATTCTTTGGGATGCTTCAGCTTCCAGAGCGACTTCTTCGAATTGGCCGCCTTTTTGCAGATTCCATCTTTGAGGAATTTGTTGATTTCGGAATAAAGCAGTTCGAACGCTTCTTGATGGCCTTCATCGGGTATGTCTCCTTGAAGCTCGGAGAAGGGGAGTTTGCGCTGGCTTGGCTGGAGGGTTTTGAGATGGCGAGGGATCCTTGCGGATAGTCTGCTGCTGTGTCTGGTCGGCATTGTGAATGCGAATTAAGCGCAGCTTGAATTCGGATTTTAAGACAATTGAAAAATGGGGGATAAAACGAGTAGATGCAAGACCTCTGCTCTTATACATTCGCAGGATTGTGATATTCGGCGACGTGCAGACTAGCGGTCAGACGTCCTGCATCTTCTTATGCCGCCATCTAGGGTCTGTCGGCGGCTTCTCAGAGACAAGCGTCTTTCACTGGTCGACGCGTTCAATCGTTCAGCGATGCGTTCAATTCACGGCGAAGTATGCACGCCTCTTTCATCCGACTGGGGCCTGTTCAAAGCGTGTCGATCAAAGGGGTCGTGCACAAATGAACGCAAATCATTGTTGGCATAAAAATAGAATGTCAAAGGCATAAAGCCGACCTTGAGGCCTTTTAAAAACACTTGTCATGAGAACACACGTCTTTATTTCAATAAATCTTCAACTGGCTTTTAGCCACCCATGATGCTGCTCCTCTCCAACTACTGCTGGACTGAAAATTGCCACGGCGCTTCCATAGACTCAAAACTCCTACGAGATCCACACATACCATCATATTTGATGTCAATCATTTGTAATATATGAAACGGAGGAAAGAAAAAAGAAATTGGTATTGTCTGGTATACAGATATTGGGGAAATTTTAGGCTTTGTAGATTAAAAGTGCTCTTTCCAGAAGCGGAACTCGACTTCGCGAGCCGTGGCAGCCTTGCAGGCAGTCTTGATATCGCGAGCTGGAGAGATGGCATGTTAGCTTAGAATAGACACAATGGGCAATATGCTGGAAACATTGGTACATACCTGCAACAGAAGGACCGCAAAAGTAAACACCGACCGTCGTCTTCATGCTACCCTCGAGACCGCCGAGATAGGTCCTGTCGAGAATACCATCGCGCATAGTTCTGAACAGACGAGCAAAGTTGGGTCGGCCAAACTGAGTCCGTGACTTGAGCTCAGTGAGGGGATCCATCTCGGCACCGACACTGTTCAACACGATGTTCTGAGCGGTGTCCATGTCAAGTCTCTGGGTGAGGTAGGTGTGGATCTTGAGGAATTCAACACCAGAGCTTCCAGGGACGCGAGCAGCTTCGTTGGACTGTTCCTCGAGAGAGGACAACAGTGTCTGGAACCATTCAAAAGAGCCGGTATCCTTGCAGACCCAGATGAACTCAACACGACGAAGACGAGTGGGAGGGTTGGGGGAGTTTCGGAGATGCCAGATGTTCTTCAGAATAGAAGCCCAAGGAGTAACGCCAATACCAGTTCCGATAAGGACAGCAATTTCGTTCTCAAAGACGTCCTCAGCGGGAGCTCCATAGGGGCCGTCAATACGCAGAGCAGGCATCTGCTGGCCGTTTTGCAAAGCGACCTCGTACATACCCATGGGGTCGACACCGTCGTAGAACTTGGCTTGAGCGGCACCGGCACCAAGGGCGTCTCCCAGCTGGCTGGTGAAGTCACCGACCTGGCGAACGTGGACGGAGACATAGGGATCGAACGGGCACGAGGTGATGGTGAAGGGGTGCCACTGGTACTTTGAAATGGATGGCACCTGAAGGAACAACCACTGGCCGGCCTTGTACTTGAAAGAAGGCTTGTTGAACTGAATCTCGACGACGTCATACGGGTGACGGATAACACGAGTAATCTTGGTCTCACGACGGGCACGAACCTCGCGATACAGGCGCTCAATCAGGTAGAAGCCACCAGTGAAGAGCTCCCATCGCCATCCAAGATAACCAATGCAGTGCGACCAAAATTGCTCACCTTCAAATGGAGAGAATCCATTGGCGGTATCACGAACGAAGCAGCCGACAGTGTGGGTGTAGAGAGCCAGGAAGAAGGGGATGAACAGGTGGTGTGTGTACCAGAAAGTCTCGAAAGATTGCTGACGGATACGAGCATGGGCGGTGGTATACATGAGCAGCATGCAAAGGAGCATGACGTGACCGGTAATACCACCAGGCTGAGCGTAGTGGATCTGCAGAGCGGTAACGGGACGGATCTGCCTCTTCTCGACATTGTAAAAGTTGACGTAGTGGGCTGACGTGTGCAAGATGCTGAAGAGTAGCAGAGAGTAGGCAATCTGGCGATGCATCCACAGGTTCTCATCAAGGGGGAGGAAGCGGATCTTGGGTCGGATCCATCGCATAATGGTTCGGCAGACGGGGAGCAGGATGAGCATGCAGTCGACGCTGAGCACCAGACCAGCACCTCGAGAAATCCACACAGAGAACTTGAGCGTGTTAAGACCTGCCAGCCTTATGTCGGCGGCTTGTTTATACCTGGAATCATGTTAGCTGCTTCAAGGATGATCAGACGTCATTTCAGTGTTGAGGCTCACCATCCATATGCGAAAATGCCGAAATGAAATCCCCAGAAGAGAATGTGATAGAAGAACTTTTGAATGGTGAACTGCTTGCGGATCAGCTCGCCATATGTGAGTTGGCCAGCCATCTTGGATGATTGGTTTCGAGTTTTCCTCCTCTTAACAGTTGAAGCCCTTTGAAATTAAAATGTCGACCCGCGACAATGCTGAAATATTATGATAGGATGCCCTTGGGATTACCCAATGCAAGCGGTTCCCCGACTCTAAACAACGATGATACCCTTCGACTTTCCACAATAAGACACCGATTCCCAAGTCGACTTTGGATCCGCCCCAAATAAGTCGTCCAAGGCAGAATACAAAAAATTACTAGTCAAAAATCGGAGACGCTGGAAAACGAAGGTTGAATAAAGAGTGTAAAGAGTGACCTGAGCCAGCAGTGGATAGCAAGGAAAGGCCCAAGGGGACGTCCGTAGAAGGGAAAGAAAAAGATGGCTGCTCTTTTGGCCCGCCTAACGACAGCTGAGGGAAGAAGGGAAAAGAAGAAGCCAAGAATATGGGAGTCGCCGAGAGATAAAGAGGGCTCCTGGTCGACCTAATCGGCGTGAAACACGGACAGGCTGGAGAAGTCGGGGATGGATCCGAAATGGTGGCTCCGGCGTCTTCCTTTGACTTCGGATGTCGAGGTTCCTTGTCGCATGAAACTCGATACCCCTGCAGCTGCGAAGCGATCCGCCAAATGACACGGTGAGGGCTCGCGGGCCGGTAGCATCGGCCGCTGCAGCAGACGCCAGGCTAGGAGTATTCCCTCTGCAACGAGCACTTGTGAGAGCTGCGATTGCAGTTTAGGGCCTGGTTGACTGTAAACCGTAAACCCAGCGAAGATCACGGCGCAGGAAGTGAGACTCTCGTGGAGCGGATTGTGCGACGGCGAGTGTGAGAGCAGGGCCGAGGGGCAGCTGTAGCGGCGTTTCGGGCGCTGGCTCAGGGGCCTTGAAGGGAGTGGCCGAGGGGCGTGTGCGTTTGAGAGTCTGGTCAAGCAAGCTTGAAGAAGCTTGTCTGCACTTTGACGGTGCTCCGAAGCTGTAATGTTTCAACAGGAGTGTCTGTGCAAATGCAAGCGCAGGTGCAGGTGCAGAGATGGAGGTTTGCAGATGCAGCAGAAGCAGAAGCAGGAAGTGGAAGATTTTGGATTAGGTAGGACGTGGTACAAGTACAGTAACCTTTGAAGTTTAGTAGTAGGTGATACAGGCGGGCACTCTTCAGTTTCCAGCGCCTGGGATTCGATGATTCGATCAAGTCACCTGCAGGGCCCCAATGCCCGCTCCCCCGCTTCTCCGCTGCTTTGTGCTGCTCAGATTCTGCTCTTTTGGCACCATAAATAGGAACATTGAATTCCATCACATCCAAAGCCGCCGGCCTCGCGTGCACTTGCATTCTCGCGATGCGCTCTGACTGGTCTGGCCGAGTTAGTCAGGGAGTAGCAAGGCGCGATGCCAGTCCTGATGAGGCAACGGCCCTGAGGCTGGGCGCTTAAAACACCAGACGGCTGGCCAACAAGAGGCTAGATTTGTGTCCCCTGAACTAGCTGCGCGGTGATGGACTGCTAGGGCACGCGGACCCCTGTCTGGTGTGGACGCCTTTGATGACTGTTGATATCGTTGAATTTGCTCTTCTGGGCGACCTAAAACAGCACATCTGGTGATATCACTTGCTGAACGGATGACTTGAGCAGTCGAATCGAACCATTTTGCGATGCTTGTAACGGAAGAGCATCTCCGTCCGTCGATTGCGTTGTCGCCAAGACCAGTTATCTGGAGTAAGCTTGATTTAGCTGACGCTCGAGTTCAAATCTTGGACTCCCTTTGTCTGCGTTGTCGATTTATTAAGTCGATGATGATTGGTCGCGACGCCTACCAGCAAGTGCTCGGATGGGTTAGTCTGCCCGTGCTCTCTGCCTTGATTGTCATCATCAAGCTTTGAATCAAGATGCAATTTAGTACCTATGGAAAGCATCCATCGCTACCGGCAATCTGGTGTGTCCCAGGTTAGGCTACTCCTGATAGTACCCATTCCCTCCTTTCCCCATATTCGCCTGAAAGGTAGGCCTGGAGATTTAACTCTTCCATTTAAGATTATACATCTTGTTCAAACACACAACCGATCCATGGCTTCTAGCCGAGTTCTGGTCGTGTCTCTCTCCCTGCTGTTTACCTCCTGAAAGAGTGAGCAAGGCGGTGTTTACAAAGATTAGCTACCTACTCTCAACTGAAACGAGTAGCAACTTAAAACGTTAGCGCTCGTGATAGATGGACGCCCTGCACCTTTTGCGCACGGAGGTTTGGGCTCGTCCCTTGATTTTAGCGCAGCTCCTGCGGCCCCTCCCATCCCGGGCGTGAGGCCTTCACGTTGGTCCCTGCAAATGAACCGGCATTGGCGAGGCGGTTGTTTGCATTGGCAGACGTAGTATCGAGATTTTGGCGGGAAACATTCACGCGATGATGAAAGAATCGTACGATTTTTTTTGCAAAGCTCCCCAAGACACACACGTGGCGGGATCCAGCAGTTTGGCTATAAAACGCTTCCTTTCGCATGCTTGAATTCGTTCCGTTATCCTGTTTTACGACTTTTGGCCACTCTGACTTGCTTCCCAGACATATCGATCGCCCAATGCTACTCTCGCCGCCCTGCTCACGATGACAAACCGAATACGAAGTACACCAAGTACAATGTACAGATTAGACCTATAGCGCGTAAGAGAGGGACGAGGAGGGAGCGTCAAAACTTCGTGCGGCACAACGCAAAACACACCCCGAGATGCTCGTCGCCTAGTAGACCAGCCGCTGGACACGACTTGGTCACCCTCGATGCACAGCCGGTCCACAATGCTGTTACCTTAGTTCATAGCGCCATGCCTGTCGACTCGAGGATCATCAGGGCGGCTTCGGCTCAAAAGGTCCTTCGTTTGAGACGACAAGGATACTCAGCAGAGCGGCCAGACCAGACGTAACCGATGGAACGTGCAAAATATTTGAGTGGGAATCGGGTCCAGTTCAAGCGGTCCATACTTTTTCATTTTATTTTTGGGTCTTTCTGGTCAATAGCACTGGCTTCGTATTCGCCGCTACTCTGCTCGGAAGATCCTGACAGCATCTACATCTCCATTGCGGGCGGCAGTTTGACCTCCAGGTGTCGCATGAATGAAATGACGTTCCCTTGTAAACTCGACGTCAATGGAAAGCCAATCGTAGTTTGCTGGCTCTTTTAGTTGTCTCGGCATTGGCCACTGAGCAGCAGCACCAACGTAATTGCATTGAGCAGTTCCTGGTCTGCGCTGTGCGACAATGTGGGGAGTGGTCAGTCTTTGGCGGCGGAATGACGTAGTGGTGATAAATGCCCAGCCATGTCCATCTTTGCTCGCCATGCCGTCATCCACAGTCAATCGCCGATTTGAGCAGTAACTCAATGGCATGTTAGGCAGTTATAAAGAAAATTCGAGTTCAAAAAATTAATCATTAAAACTCCATTTCATGTATACGCGTGTAGTTTGCACAAAGAAAACCTCCCGCCAGCTGCAATGTGTAGAGCCTCATAATGTCTGGCAAAGAAGATGTGGAAAATACCCGCCGCTACGAAGCTCCGTATAGCGAACGACACCCAATCCCTACCATATCGAAATACAGAGAGGAAAGGGAGGCGAGACAGCAAGATGCACTAAAGAACGACGTGGAGAGCCCGGATCAACGTCCTTCTCGGGCCAAAGAAAGAGAAGCTGGGAGTTCCGATGACGAAGCAGAAGATTTTCAGTCTGAAAACGAGGCAGCTATCCAGGACACATCGCAAGTTGATCCTGCCGCAATCAATCCACGAAAAAAGAACAAGGATTCCCAGAAAGAAAGGGCGGAACGCGAGGTCACGGATCCCGTCACTCACCTCCCCGTGAAGATTCACGACTTCACTGACGGCGCCCTCAAAGAACTGGACGAAAACGAGGTCCCATTTGAACAGTCAAAAAGAACCTTGAGTGGTATCGATGAGAAGAACAAGTCCGAGGCCGAACTACGCAAGGAACAAGACGGTTCACAAGAGAAACATCATGCCTTGATGAATCAGTTCCCGCCACCTGACCTCGACTTCTTACGCAAGGAAGTCGTTGCGGCAAGCAGCCGTGGCTTTGTGATTTCTTTAGCCGGTGCATGCGGCATCTTGGTTACTACCTTTGTTACTCGCGAAGCAATTTTTACAAATGTGCATCGGGATGGAGGATGGACAGCTGTTGCTCAGCGGTTATTGCCATGGCTTGCTCTGGTTACCGTCAGCGCAGGAATATTCTCTGTCTTTATCTTCGGCGTGAGGGATTGGACGGCCAAAAAGGTCGATAGCGCAATCCAAGACGAGGTCTGGCGCTCGCAGCGCCGGCAGATGAAACGCGAGGCCAAGAAATACGAAAGGGAGACTACCTTGTGGCTCAATTCCTTGCTGAGCTCAGTCTGGCCGCTCATCAACCCCGACCTCTTTACCAGTCTGGCAGACACCCTTGAAGATGTCATGCAAGCTTCTTTGCCCAAAATGGTACGCATGGTCAGCGTGGAAGATATTGGCCAAGGCAGCGAATCGCTGCGCATCCTCGGTGTTCGATGGCTGCCCACTGGAGCTGCTGCACAAGCCGTAACGGAAGATGGGAAGATTATCTCACACAAAGACAAGGACAGTCGCAGCAATTCGGAGCTGGGCGAAGAGGAAGAGCCTGATAGTAAAAGCGATAAGTCCGTTTCTCGGGGCATGGCAGCTGAGGAAGGTGACTTTATCAACCTGGAGGTTGCTTTTGCATACAGGACTCGATCCACCAGCAAGTCATTCAAGGAGCGAAGCAAAAACATGCACCTCTACTTGGCCTTTTATCTGCCCGGAAACTTGAAGATACCCGTCTGGGTTGATCTGCATGGAGCGGTCGGCACCATGAGGCTGCGCCTACAGCTGACGCCTGATCCCCCGTTTTTCGATCTCTGTACGTTGACACTGCTTGGCCAACCAAAAGTGGATTTAAGCTGTGTGCCCCTGAGCAAGCATGCCTTGAATCTTATGGATGTGCCCTTTATAAGCAATTTCGTGCAGTCGGCAGTTGACGCAGCCATGGCGCAATATGTCGCTCCAAAGAGTCTGACGCTGGATCTCAAAGATATGCTCGCCGGCGATGACTTCAAAAAGGACACATACGCCAAAGGTGTTCTTATGGTCAATATCAAGCGTGGTTACGATTTCAAGATAGGAGATTCAGGCATACCACTGATCAAAGACTCCAGTTCAGATCCATATGTGTCTGTTGGATGGGCAAAATTTGGCAAGGTTCTCTGGAGCACGCGCATTTTAACGTCTGAAATGGAACCATATTGGGATGAGACTTGTTTTGTGCTGGTCACCCCTGAAGAGCTAAACATCAACGAAAGGCTCCGCCTTCAGCTGTGGGACTCTGATCGGTTTACGGCGGATGACGACCTCGGGAGAATTGAGGTTGACCTCAAAGAGCTGATGCAAAACGAGGAGTCGAATGGGCGCATGTGGCAACGCACAGATGGATTTAGAGCACTGAAATCTGGCCACGACATGCCGGGGAAACTCGAGTGGAGTGTTGGGTACTTTTCAAAAGCAAGACTCCAGAAATGCCAATTCGAGCAACAGACTCACGACCCAGAAGTTAGATCAATGGAGCAGCTTAAAGAAAAGGTCAGCAACAGCTGCGAGCGGAAACTTCGAGAAGCCATGCTCAAACATTCGTCATCCGATCGCGATGATAGCGAGCTAGAACAGCAGAAGATGCAGGAAATGAAGTCGGAACAAGATGCGATGATCATATCGGCGCCGCCGCCCGACGGATATCCAAGTGGCATCTTCAGCCTGCAGATTCACAACATCACCGGACTCGAAGTTCCGCAGCTAAACAAAAGCTTGAAGGACAAGGATGGCAATGCCAGCGACGAAGAGACTGGCGAGGGTCTGCCCAGCGCCTACTGCACCGTAATTGTTAACCATAAGAAAACCTACAAAACGCGAACCAAGCCGCAAAACACAAAGCCCTTTTTCAACGCAATTTGCGAGCGCTTCATTCGAGACTGGAGGTCCTGCGAAGTCTATGTCTCCGTGAGGGATGCCAGGTTGCACGAGGACGACCCATTATTGGGCATTGTCCATCTGCCTCTGAGCGAAGTGTTCAAGGAACGCTCTCAGAGAAATGGCTTTTGGCCCATCTCCGGAGGCATTGGCTATGGGAAGATCAGACTGTCCATGGTATGGCGCAGCGTCCAACTTCAAGCGCCGCGCAACCTCGTCGGGTGGCAGTATGGCACAGTGAATGTGCAACCTGTCGCAACGAGCTCAGATTGCCCCGAGGATCTGAGATACGCGAAGCTGAAGCTGAAGACTGACATCAGCAGCGGCAAAATGTATTCTCGCGGATCCGGAGAGGCGACGTGGGCGACGAGTAAGGATCGGCCTCTCAGTCTGGCTGTTCAGAAACGATACAGCGGCTGCTTATCCATTGCCTTCAAAGATAAGAAAGTGCTGGGAGACAAAGTGTCTGCTTTTAGTGTGTGCTGGCTGAAGGATATTCCAGATGGGGAAAATTTGATACTCGATCTAGCCATCTGGAAAGGCGATTTCAAGAGGGCGACATCGTGCTGCCTGGATCAATGCGGAGAAAGAATTGGGACGCTCAGTCTCAAGGCGACATTCTGGCCGGGCATGGTAAGTTGACACTTTGATTTCAGACTACCCTGTAATAGAAGAAGAAATCTCTAACACGGTCTTTTAGGGCGCTGCGCATTCCGAATGGGCCAATAGCAGCGATCAAATACGAGATGTTGTTGAAGTAATCGATGCTGCAAGAGATAATCTCAGAGACGACGACATGGAAAGAGCTGCAGGAATTGTGGACGAGGAAATCTCAAGCGACAGCGATAGCTCTGATGAAGATGAATACATACCAGATGGTAGCGCGGACCATAAGCAGGGCCCCATAGACCAAGTACGGGATTACAAACGGAGAGATAAAGCCTTACACAGACAGCATCGAGGCCTCATGCAATGGAAGGTAAGACAAATTCACCAGAATATGCCAGCTTCAGTGGAAATGAGTAGCTAACCCCTGGCGTAGGTGCCTCGAACCGCGAAATGGGTGAAGCACCAGGTGGACAAGGTGGAAGATAGTGTTACTAGCATGCTTGATCACAGAAACAAGGAGGCTGGGATTGAGACTGAGGTATAATAAAGTCGGCCCAAAAGAACGGATATCATATAATTTCTAGCAAGCAAGACCATGGTCTAAGAGGAAATGACGGTGGCTAATCTAACTAAGGTATCTGTAAAAATGATAATAACTCCCTCAAACGAATTGCGCCCCCAAAGGATTCCCATTCATAAGAAATGAAAGCCGTGAAGTAAAATGCAAACACAGACGCAAATGCCATGGCATGACGGTGACCCCGGGAATACTGGCCGCAGTCTTCATGGTAGATCCTGCTGCGTTGCGGCGTTTAAAAGAGTTGTCCTTGATCCAGGTTAGTTACTGTTGTCGAACACGTCGCCTGTCGTTAGGACGGGGCCTAAGGCTTCGTTGGATGGTGCGGGAGTGGCGTTGTTCTTACGGTTCCTCTTTGATCGCACCTCAACTGCCTCTGGCTGCAGCGGAGTCACGTCGTCTTCAGGGTCGTCGCGGTAGCGCTCAGGATCGTCTTCTGCCAGCAAGGGGGCGAGCAAGGGTGCATCACTACGACGCCACGGAAATCTTAGACCCAAGTTCAAACTCTTAACGCTCTGGAACCAAGGGATCTCGGGCAGTGAGGAAGGCCGCAGGTGGTGCTCGCAGTTTGGACAATTTGGAGGAAGAATTTGCCAGGCAACCCACTGTAAGAGGCCGTGAATAGCGAACCCTTGATAGACGGCGTGGGCCGCTGCAAAGACATGGCAGAAGCTATTCGGCACAGGTTAAATTCCATCACGCAAAGAACCAGCCAGATACGGCTATGCTAGAATAGAAACTCAAGCATCTTGGAGTGGTGGGGGGACATACAAGCTTGTCAGAATAGGCAGCGTAGCATAAGCAGCAAGCATACTTAGTGAAGCCGAACGGCCGTGATGGGTCCATGTGAAGACGAGAACGATCATGAGAGCAGCAGCAAGTACGACGTCGTGAATGAAAACAACGATGGGATGAGTGAGGACGGCGCGGATAGAAATGCCGCTGCGGCCTTCAGATTCGATGGACTCGACATCAGCCTCCTGCCTGTGGCCTGCGGTGCGAAGGAGCGCAATCGAGGTGGCGACAGACACGGCTTGAGGCACCAGGCCAACAGCCGGAACGGGATTATGCGACAAGACGCCGTGGGCGATGCAGAGAGCGAAGGACGGGACGAAGGACACGACGGCGGCGATGCGAAGCGGGCGGGCAGCCGCGTCAACGGTTGAGTCTTCCATGATGGGCGGTGCTGGTGAATGGCGGCCGGGCTGAAGGTGACTGAAGCCGCGAGAAGTCGGCAGCGAGTATAAGAGGGCAGCGAGATGCCGTCAGTCAGTCAGTGCCAGCGCCGACGTCTGGGATTTATTTTTATTTTATTTTAATTTGGGCTCACATTGTCAGGAGAAGCTGCATTGGACAGAGAGATTACCATAGCGGAAAGCGCTGCCCCTCACTGAGACCCCTGTTTGTCTGAGATGTACAAAGTCAGTTAGTGCAGGGCCAATAGCCGGATCTGGTATCTTGACGACAGGAGCTGATTAGGAGAGTGGGGGTTACACAGGTGCGAGCTTGATTCAACGACATGACACGCAGATTTGACGACACAATTGGACGACACTGCAAAATTATTACATGTTGTGAATTATAGGACGAAAGGCTGATATACTTGCGAGTTTAGGGGATTACAGGTGGGTCATTGGATTTTCTTGAATTGCCCTATTTTTCATGGCTGTGTTGGGTGTGAGTGAGTTGACCTGAACGAACATCTAATGTCCAAAACACCAAAGCCTCGAAGGTGGTTTATGCCATCTCGCCGCCACTCGATTTTTCAGCAACGCGAAAGAGCGCGAACGCGGTGACGTTGCCTGGCCATCAATTGGTTTTCGTCTGACGTTCTCGCGTCAGTCACCGCGTTTGGGCTCACCTACGGGCAGCTGTAGTGAGGAAAAAGTGAGGCCATGCTGAGTTTCTGCCCCATCGACTCGCCAGCTGGCGACCAGTCCGCCTCGCAAAATCAACAAATAATTCACTGCAACGCGCTCAATTGGTCAGAAAAAAGTGAAATCATGTGCCCACAGCTGCCCTGAAAAAAAAAAAATAATAAAACCCCCCGCCCCCAGCTCTTCTTTTCCTCTTCTTCTCTTCCTTCTTCAAGTTACCATCATCACATCAAAGTATCACCAACGCGCACACAAACGAACGAACAAACCTCACAATTCTGACAGACAAGATGGACTTTTCTACCATCTTCACCCTCGTTCCGCCTCCCAAGGTTCCCTCCCTTGCGGACCCCCTTATCTTCCTGCCCATCTGGGCTTTCCTTTTTACCGTGTGCTTGGTTACGAAGCTGGTCACCGCTTTGTGGCCATCGGTTCTCTCATACCTCTACCTTGTTGTAGCATTTGCCCCGGACAAAAACTTTGTTGTCGCCGCCATGTCCTGGCTTTCACTGCTATGGCTTTGGAAGCCCTGGACCGCCGCGATCGCTGACCTACGTCGCGAAGTCGATCTCGCGATTGACTTTGCATTTCACGCGTGGTTCCTGATGGCCTTCCCTTTCATTGTCTTGACAATCTGGGTCGGCCTGTTGGAAGTTCTTCGTCTTGCCGCCAATGCCATAGTCCGCCGAATCCATGACGCCATGGAGTTCGAACTCGACCTGGACTATGTCATCAAATGCTACTCGCCCATGCAGCCAGGATCACCCGGCGATCGCGCCATGGTCCGGCTCCTTGCCGACGCTGGATACCCGTCATTCGTCCTGAGATTAACTCGCCCTGACAACGGCCTATCCGAAGCTGGATATAGAGCTATCTTTCGGGATAAGCGACCGCGCCGCTTTGAGACAAAGACCTCGTTCGAAGAGCAGATGCAATCTCGGGCCCGAGTGAAGCAGTATGTTAAGGAGCGCCGTGCAGAAATCATGGCAAGAAAAGAAGCAGAGAGAATCGCCGCTGAGCAGCTGAACGATCCGAAGCCAACAACATTCGACAGCGAACCAGTGCCTCAGTCAAGAGAGACTCCCACCCCGGTGGTTCAGGTTTCTGCTTGGCCCATTGTTCCCGAGTCGGATCATGTCACCGAAGACGTCACGACTGCCAGCGGATTGATAGAGACTGAAGAAAGTCTGGTCGGAGATGAAGAAGACGGAGAAGACAGCAAAGCCCAGGAACCTGCGTTCACATCTGTGGAGAACGGTGAAAGCTTGGCCCAGGAACCGGACACATCTGTGGATGATGGTGAAAGCCCGCTGTACGTGTATATACATAGCAACGCCCAGGAACCCGCCACATCTGTGGACGACGGTGAAAGCCCGCTATTCCGAGACACCCCCCTATCCGATTTACCCAGCGCCACGGTACCCGAAGCGGCTCAGGAACTGCCAACCTCTTATGAGGAAGAACGTGACGGCCTGCTGAATATCGACGCAGTCCAAACCGAGGAACCCAAAGTCTCTTTCGAGTCGGCGGGTGAAGGTTCAACGGAGGACCAGACCTCGCATGAGGAGGAGTTCGACGTTGAGATGGCTGACGCGGATCCCCTTGAGGGACTATTTGTACCTGGCCCCTTTATTACATCTACCTGCTACTCCAACCCACCGGAGCCTATCCTGCCATTGGAAGTTGTGGCCCCATGGTCTCCTGCTGGTCAGGAACCTGGTTACCACTACGATACCCGCGGATACACGTCATTGTCGCCTGTTGTCGAGAGTGCTCAAGCTGTTGTCGAGGCCCAGTAGGACGGGATTGACTTTCAGCCTGACCTCTCATCAGTCGCTGACTACCAGACACTCCTGGAGGAAAACGAGTATGCCAACATGGACCCCGACCTCCTAGATCGCCAGATGGACGATCTCCTAGCCGGCGTTACCACTCAACCGGATCTAGCATTCACTACCGAAGCTTCTTTTGAGGAGTTCGAGGTGTGGCTGGATACCCTCGATGTGGACGCCCCCCCAGCAGCAGTTCCCGCCGCCAACCCGTTGGACGAAGACGAAGAAATGCGAGACGCGGATTGGATCCCGACTCCAGCTTTCGATTCTGACAACGACTCGGTCACCATGGAGGAGCCAGTTTCCGAGTTCTTCGATCTAGGCATCCTTCGGGATTCTAGCATAGATGAAGACATGGCCTCCGTAGACCTGAACGGCAGCGAGTCCGACCCCGAGGTAGAGTTTATAACTGCAGCTTTGGCTCAGTTGACTCTTACTTTGGATGTCGGCAACGTCATCATCACCGAGCAGCAACTATCCCAGGAAGATGTCGCAATGGTGGAACTCCAAGGGCTAATTCCCCCTGTCATCGTCGTTGACATGGCAGAGCCTGAGCAGTTAATTCCCCCCACCGACAACACGACGGAGCTCAACAGGCCAACTCCCCCCGTCATCGAGATGGCGGAGCCTGAAGAGCCAATCCCCCCCGTCGACGACATTGTTCCGGATGCTGTTCCGGATACTCTCCAGCATGAGGCATTGCCCCCGCAATTGCCGTACATGGGAGACGATGACGAAGATTGGAATGAGCAGAGCGCTGTGTCTGACGGTTCGACGACACGCAGCACGTCTCCAAGAGGCTCGGAAGGAGGTGAGCTACTCGTGGTAGCCTCGCCTGGGCCTTCCCTCGAGGATGACATGATGGCCGCCTTTGAAGAAAGGGATTTAATGGCCGCTCTGCTCGGCATGTCACCAGACCGATTGTCATTTTCCTCGCGATCGAGATCGACTTCGCTTGACTCGGGCGACGTGCCCTTATGGGCATTTCCCCCTGACATGGTGAACGCGTCTGAATCTGGTGCTGCCACCAACCTTTCGTTGAACCAGCTGTTCGACAATTCCCGGACAATCGAAGGCAATCCTACGACCGAAAGCGCCGCTGACGACCTTTCGGCAGAGGATCCAGCCTCAAGAGATTTTGGGTCTGGAACAGACTCAGTTACGGAGGCGCAAGAGCCAGCTCCAGAGGATCACCACCAGGCGGGTAGTTCCGAGTCCCCCGAGGACGACACCACCCTGGCCCCTGGAGAAGTTGCTGAAGAGCAACTACCGACGACTGAGACCCCGGTTCCAGACAATGTACCGGCAATTTTGACAACCCCCGAGCCAAACCGAGTGGTTCAGGTTGAGGTCGCGCCCATCAGGATGGGAGGGCTTATTCTCCCTGGCGGAAATCTTTTCCAGCCCGCGACTCCCGCCCCCATGACCCCGTTGCCGCAGCAAGCCAATACTCCCGACCCAGAGGCTATCAGGAAGCAAAAGGAAGAAAGCCTGGCAAGGGATCTGCGCAACGTCATGAGGAGGCGCCAACCTGCTTCCATTTTTCACCCCAAGCGACCGCAGAAGTCTTCGGCTCTCATTCGCTCACCAGACGCCGCGGAGAGAGAGAGTAATCTCCGATCTCCGCAGTCCTTCCATGCCTTGTCTCGCGCTGGAAGTGACGCTGATGGTGGAGCGGATGCCGTTGACGAAGGAGCGGCGAGGGTGATGCTCGGTTCGCCTGCCGTTATGAAGGCGATTCGAGACAGTGAGGCTCGGCGAGGTTTTATGCGTGAAGGCAACGCAGACGAAAGATGAGCGTGGTGCTCATTCTTTCCGACTTAATTTTTAATATTTAACTTTTAATATTCGATGATACTACGATGATCAGCAATTTCGAGCTCGACGACTGCTTTTTCTTTCTTCTTTTTTCTTTCCTTGTTTTCCGCTTTGGACTCCGACTTATTTCGCTTCAAAGTTTTGAGAATCTTGTCTGCGCAGGTCGATCACTCCTTTTCTTACTTTTGGAGCTGAGCGCAACCGTGTCGAACTATCTTCTTTTTTGACACACACACGAGACAATCAATTGAAAAACAACTGGGAAAAAGCAGCTGAGCTTAGCTCTCTTGAGGGATTCAGATGGTTTTTTTTTGGGCACCGAGCAAAATGTCTTCTGTCAGAGACTTGGACGCGAATACTCTTCTTTCACTTTTCGCCGACCAATTTGCTTCACTTGCCCTCTGTCAATCTACACATATTGTGAGGATATGTTTTGACACTTTTTCCTTTACGACCATCACGGAGAGCTATAATTGCTATTTTTTGGACAAGCGACTCAACAACAACAACACACATTCTCATATACCACTTTCTTTGCTTGTGGGTTTTGTTGGAAACGCTTCGTCCATATTGATGATATGGAACCAGAGCCCCTTCTTCCGAGAACACTTGTTTCTGTTCGGACTTTTCCTTCTTCTTGACAAGCAACATGACATCTTTCTATGCAGCATTCGTGACTTTGCTCGCCTTTGTCATTGCTCAGTCAAACCGAACGGAAAGGGGCTCGACATTTCTTGGGAAAGACGCATTCACATACAGTTGGCACAGATGATGTTCATTATTTCTGATCGTCTATTGCCGCAGTCTTTCCCAGGCGTCCGAAGATGTCGACATCAGTTTACACCATTCGACATCTGGGACAAAAACTCGGGGATCATTACAATAGCTTGAATCGCGAGCGAAGACAATCCGAACTATTCGCTCGCATTTCGCTTTGTAATGATGTCGAGGCACGTCGACAATTTTCACTCTACGATGTGCTTTCGACTTCAGTCAGCAGCGCGATCGGGAAGGCAAAGCAGAAGCTAGCATTAGCTACTTTCTGATACATCTTACATCTTACACCGTCAATTCAACTCCAGCTGACGCTTTGCTTTCCTGCGCGCATTCACGTCCCTGTCAATCCGCAACACTTTATTTCACACGGCGTTGATGACAGGGACACACTCTTGAGGGCAAGATTTAGGAGGATCATTGGGTTGGGTATGGTATGGTTTGGTCACGATTTGGTCACACACACAATTACACAAACAGCTGCTTTGGTCAAAGCAGCTACTTCACACGAACTGCTCCTTTACATGGAGCACTTTTCCACACACAAGCAGGACTGCTCTCTTACATGGAGCACTCCCACGCATACAAACGGGAATTGCTCTTTTACACGGCACTTCCACACATACAAACAGGACTGCTCCTTTACGTGGAGCATTCCACACACACATTACTCACACATGGGTTATTGTGGCGACTCTTCATAAAGACTCTTTCCACAACCACAATACCACTTCATGTGGAGTAATTCTACAAACAAACGACCACTTCCGAAGTGTTTCGGCAAACAATCCACAACTTCGAACGAAACACTTCATGTGACATCCCACATGGGATGCCTCTTCGATAGGAGTTCTTCTCCAACCCACACAAACAAACAAACCACAACCTCTTCAAACCAGACCAGACCAGACCAACCAGACCAAATGGCGACTGCAAACCCGCAAGGCTCGCAGTTGTGATCCGACGAAAATCTTGCTTTCGAGAATGAGATATGGAATCTTCGCATGATAGTGACAGGGGATAAACACAAACATTTATCACTATCAGGCTTCACTTACATTACCACAAGCCATGCAAGATTCCTGTCTCGTGTGTCGAGGGCCAAACCACATACCACTTTCTCGCCCTTGACACACAAAATTGGGGAAACATTCGCACACTTTTGTCAGAGGGTATCACGATCCAATTACCTTTCTACCCCCTGACAAACTTTTACACAACTTTATCGAGGAAAACCGTGCGAATGGAACAATATTGTATCTTTCGATACAAACCAATGGGGAAACGAGGAGAGATCAGAACCACCAACTACCACCAATTACTTTCATGGTCTGATCCTCCTCCAAACACACACATTATCAATGGGGAACTTGGGAGGGTCAGAAGTTATATCAACAACGAACGTCTATTTCACATCTGACCCTCCCAAACACTGAGAATCATTGAATATCACGCAGTCATCTGACTTCAATCACTTTCATCTGCGCGATGATTCTCAGCTGTGTGTCGAATCAAATATCACGACACGACACACAAAAACGGGGAGTTGCCAGAGATAAAACCACTCTCTTTCACATCTCGGCAACAAAAGAACACTTGGAATGCCAGAGATTAGAGATGCCACACTCTTCTAAATCATGAGCGTCTTCTAATCTCTTGGATTATTCCTTCACACGGTGGCGGACATCGACCTCATACCAGAACTGATCCTCAATGGACACAAATCAAAACATGATTCAACTTTTCAACCAAAGTTTACTGAGTTTCCATCGAGTGGAACAGATTCACTTCATACTGGTCTGATGTCCGCCACTACCAGCTGAACCAAACACTATGCTGGAAACCAATCCAAGGTAGCCAAACTTTTCTGCCTTGTGACTTGGACAAATCAGCTGTGACTGCCCTCCGCAAGGATTGGCACCAAACGGGAGGATAAAAGAATCCCTCGAATTGGTAACGAGTCATGGCTGCCTCTCGGATGATTTCATCGATCAAGGAATTTTACACACTTCAAGAATTACAAACAATCTGGAGCAAACGCCACGGCCCGCCCTCCGAAAGGACTGGCCCCAAACGTGAGGGAAAAGAATCTCACGAATTGGGAGCAAGCTGCTGGCACTCCTACAACCTTTCGAACGAGTCATCATCCGAAAAACAATTTTGCCTGGGGAAATAAATGTCTGGCTGCCCTCCTTTGTGAAAATTTTCACACTGGACTGGCCCCAAACGTGAGAGAAAAGAATCTCGCGAATTGGGAGCAGGTCACGACATGTCTGGCTGCCCTCCTCTGTGATAACCTCACATTGGACTGGCCCCAAACGGGAGAGAATAATCTCACGAATTGGGAGCAGGCTATGACCAAACCCCATGGACAAAACAATAAAACAAAGACGACGAGCTATGACAACCACAAACAAAGCAAGCTCGCTCATCTGAACAAAAGAGAGAAACAGGACCACCCCAACCAAACAAAACACACACTCTACCGGTTGGCTCTGGCCTGTCTTGATAAGAACATTCATCATCTCTCTCGCTGCCGAATCATGAAGACAAAATAAAAGAACTTCATTCGGATACATCCTAGCAATTGATCAATACAAATCACAATTGCCAAACAACGCCGACCAAGAGTCGCAAATAAAGCGAGCACACTCGCAACTACACAAATACAAACACACCACACAAACACCACAAACACACACACCGCAAAAAAGAAGTTGAACGTAAAATGTTCAATTTGCTGCCGAAACAGAGCAGCACAAAGATGACGAAACAAAAGAATAAATTGAACATAAATTGTTCGGTTACCCAGCCTCCAAAGAATGACCGCACCAAGATGACGAAAACAAAGAAAAAAGATGTTGAACATAAAATGTTCAGCTACCTTTCTGCTAAAAAGGCGGAACAGGTAAAAGAAGAAGAAAAGAAAAGAAAAGTTGAACATAAAATGTTCAGCAATTGGCATGCTACCACAATCGAAAGGTGGCAAAGCCAACATGGAGAATCACAGCCAGGCAAGGGACATTGGAGTGGGAAAAGTCATTTATTCCATGCTGGTCTAGAGTCTATCATCTGCTCTTCACCTTCATCCACCCATTCGAGTTGCTAGTCCGAGGCGAGTCTTTCACATCAGCAAGACTGCCATTCCTGTTTCCCAACGCCCTTGGATCAAACGCCCCGTTTCCAGCCAAGCCTTCGTCCTTCCATTCGTCATCGCCAAGGACCTCCCAATCAGGCGCGGGTGCATCTCCGAGAAGCTTCTTCTTTAGCTTATCGGCGAGTTTCAAAGGGTTGGGGAGCTTGAAGGACTTGATAAACTCGGTTCCTTCGTCGTCGTTGAGGGAATAAAAGGTCGTGCCATGAGCAAAACGGCCGATCCAAGTCCGCTTTTCGTCGGCGTTCTGGCCTCCAATATGGTCATTCGTTCCCGGAGCAAAATTGTTGACGCCTGAATATTGGTTGTTCATCAAAAGGCTGTACAAGTTCCGGCCCATGTTGCAAATATCCTCAAACGAAGTCCTATCACCAACGGACACGCCTTGCGAACAGCAAAGCCAGGCTACATCATAAGCCAGCAACGTGGCGCCTTCAAGGAACAGGGAATAGTTTGCGGGATCTTCTTTGGAGAGCTGCGGTAGTGGTTTATCCACAAAGAGAGGGCGAGGTCGAGGGACGTGGGAGTTGGCAAAGGGGGTATCAGAGAGGGGAGCGGTCATGAGACTGCCGGGGAAGGAAACATCGCCATGGCGATATGAGTTTTGGACGGTGAACATGGTTGGTCGGGGATAGTCGCGGTGGGGGAGGATGATCTCGGCAGGGAGGCGGATGGAAAGATAATGGGAGACCAGCAAGAGGACGTGGGCGACGTGGGAGAGAGAGGTTGAGATGACCTCGGGCGAAAGGGCTGCGAAGGAGTTAGCATGTTTCCAGGGGCGGGTTTTTTCTTCTTCTTCTTCTGTTCTTGTCCTTTCTTCTCCTGTCCTTTCTTCTCTTTTTCTGTCCTGTCATTTATCTTCTCTCTTCTTTTTCTTCTCCTGTCATTTATCCTCTCTTTCCTCTCCTGTCATTTATCCTCTCTTCTTTTTCTTCTCCTGTCATTTTTTCTTCATATTTCTTCTCCCGTCATTTATCTTCTCTCCTCTCTTTCTTCTCCTGTCATTTTTCTCACCTTTCTTCTCATCAATTTCCTCTCCTGTAATTTTTTCTCGTCTTCTCATTTCTGAGTATATATCTCTCCTATTTCCTTCTACTCTTCTATATAGATGGACAAGAACAGAGAAGTAGGTGAAAGACAAGGGAAATAAAAGGAAACATGGGGGAGACTCACAGTCCATACTAGTTAGGTCCACAATGGGAACCCTGCCGAGACTATATTCGTAGCGCCCCGTGATGCCTCTCTTCGCGACTCGTTTTAGACCGTAGAGCCGAACGGCTTCCGCACATAAGAAAGTACGAGTAGAAGCCGTATCCTCGGCAGTTTGAGACCATCGGAATTTGAGCACGTGAATCGACTTCTCTACGTCTTTGAGCTGCTTGGCCCTCCGTTCTGCTAGGCCGGCCGAGACAGAGGCTAGATCGGACTTTCGCCGAGCAAGCGCCGCCTTCCGGGCCTGGATCTCGTCCCTGGCGGCCCTGATGTCACCGCGAAGCTGTTCGGCGGCGGCGAGGATCTGGTCAGTCTTGTGCTCGGCGGCCTGCTTGTGTGAGATGACCTCATCCAGGGAGTGCTTATTTGGCCGGGTGTCAGCCAAAAGCTCGTTGATCTGCGCCTTGAGCGTGTCGTTCTCAAGCATGAGCTGCAGGTTCTTCATGCGGCCTTCGTAGATTCTGTTTCGAGCATCTACAGCGCACAAGAACGGCCGGCGCTGGGCGTCGTGCGGGCGGTGGCAGATGTCGCATTCCATGTTGGAGGCAGTTGGCGGATCCTGCTAGAGCTGGAGAGGAAGATGGCGCGCTGATTATCTGCAGTACCAGGTAGATGGCGGGATGCAGACGTGGGATGTCCGCATACAAGTGGTGGATGGCTGAAGAGGGAGAGGCTCCGATAGAGGTTCCGATAGAGACGCCGACAGCAGTGGTGAGAGAGGGAGCAGGATGTGTGAACAAGGAAGTCGTCGGGTTTGAACGGATCTATATAGATATAGGGTAGCGGATTGTATGGAGGAGAAAAGGTCTGAAATGCGAACGGCCTGTCCTGGGCGATGCTTGGACAGATGACTGCATGTGCCATGTCCTTTAAAGAACGAAGATCGATGAGATCACGGGGTGCGATAACGAGGTCGGCCTAGAGCCCGGAGCGCTAGGGCGGGCTCTCCACTAGCTTCCAGCAGGCCCGCCTAGGCACCCGCCTGTATCAGAGCCTTGAGAGCCTTTGGGCGCCTGTAAACTCACCCACTGCCACTGGACAGCAGCTCCACCGCGGTGTTGTTGATTGGAAGCGCTGGCGCTGCCTGGAATTTCCACATCCTCATGTCAACTCAGCGCTGGCATTTGCCTTTGGCCGTCCGGGACTTTTCTGCTCATCCAAACCTACGTAAATTGTCCAGGCTGACGTCGATTCCCGCAACTAGCGGCGCCTTGTCACTTGGGGAGACGTGCGATATCGCTGCCCGTCCTTTTGCAGTGGATTCAATATCCTTTGTTCGTTTGCTACGGCTTTGATCTGATTCAAATCGGGGGCAGCGCTCGCCACCCGCGTGTAGCATCAGGCTTGTGTCGAAACAGGCGGCGGCCTCGCAAAACGCGCGACTGGCAAGCGTCCATTCAAGTGAACAGCACACCATCTGCGCCTCTCCGGACCGGCTCCGCACTTGATTCAGTCTCCCTTCAACCCTTCCAGTAGTAACAGCCAACCCGGAGCACAAGCCCCCTTTCCTACCCCTTCGCAGCCGCGCCAGAGAGGCTGTCCTGTCCCAGGTGCAAGGATCATCACTTCAGCTCCACCGCAGCCCAAGCATCAAGCATCGCCATATTCCATCATGGCTTCGCCTTCACCGAGGTCGCCCAACGGCGAGGACCGTCTGCCCGTCTATGGGACCAAGGTGGCCGGCAAGGATGATACGGCCGTGTTGGATATCGAGAAGAATCGTCGGACTCGCACCAAGACTCCTGAACCCGTCGAACAGCGCAACGGTACAGCGACACCAAATCCCCCTGCCGTTCTGGCGCCATTCGACTGGGATGACTTCGAGGTGCGATATGAGAAGGCGCTGGCCGAGGCAGAGGGACAGGAACGAGAAGTCCTCAAAGAGGCCGAAGGTCTCTTCAGGGTTAGCCACTCTACCCTGTTTCATCGGTTTGACATTGATGACTTATACTAAACAAAACCATTATACATATACAGTACTTTGAAGCGTGGTCCTCAGCTGCATCAGCCCATGATGACAAGCGCGCGGTGAAGCGGCTTCAGACGCGACAACGGTACATCAACATTTCTGAGCAAAGAATGGCTCAGAAGCAGCAGCATTGTGAGTATTCATAGGCTCCCATCTTGATTCCATCATCAGGCTAATAGCATAACCATCTAGATGATGAGGTCATGCGTGCATTCGAGAGTGCATTGGCCTTGCTGCGATCTACTTAGACTCGCCTCGCATGAACCGAGTAAAGTGACCTAGCTCAGCCTAATTCTTCTTCTAACTTTTACTCTCTCTCTCCGTTGGCATATGCGCATGGCATAAACACTCTGGGTTGCTTCATCAATACGCCCTGATCGACCATGTTGGGCTGCAATCTGTAGCACGTGACCACGCAACGGCTTGGTCGTCTCAATCCCGCGTTTTAGTTCTGGCCGCCTAAACCATTCTTTGATCTACGGATGCGCGTCAAGATGTCGATTAACGAGCTTCCGTTCAAAATACCACAAATAACAAGCGACGAATTACTAGATTTCCAGCAGAGGCATTTTTCAAGCGATGCCACCGCTGATTTTGGTCAAAATTTCACAAATCTTCCACCACAAGGGTCCTCCGAGGCTCAATCATACGAAGAACGGGAGGGAGAGGAGGAGGACGATGGTCTTGGCTACTACGAAGACGGTGTGAAAAGAACCCTTACAGATGAGCAGATTGCAATATTTCGACACTCGGAGCTTAGAGAGCTCCGCAAGCAACAAGAAAAGCAATCGCAACCTAAATTAGAGCTGCCACGAGATGCTTCCGCAAATGAAACAGACGTCGCCTCTCCGCATGGATCAGGTGCACCTGCCGGTTCTCGAAACAAGAAGAAAAAGAAGAAGAAATCCAAGATGGGAAAGCAAGAACCCAAGCCAGACTTACGGAAGCGTACCTGGGATGTGGTCGAAGCCGGACTCGACTCCCTGGATTACGATTGAAGCCATTTAATGGCGAATTTCATGGCAGGTTTAACGAGCAACCATCGATGTTTCTATCCGGTTGGCGGATGTTGTTGCATCATATTGCGCAAATTTGCAATTTATTTCTTTAACCCGTTCTCAGACTTTTCCACTAGTAAGTAAGCACATTTTCTACTCTTGCTATCCAACCCCTTACCGCAATATGATGAGAACCTTTGTATCGTCATCCTTAGTCAGATCGCGCATGGAGGCCCGAAGAACCAACGACCAAATCTGGGGAGGGTTGACAACAGCGGCGTGACGAAAACTCTTATAATCTTCTCTCTGAGGCTACACAGCCCACTTTTCTTCATCATTTTGACATTTGCTGTTTTTTGAGGGGTTGGCATCTGGACTAACATGAAAAACTTTTGAGTAGGGGTTGTTTTATATTGGGATGGGAGTCGGCGTCTGGCAAGAAATGATGAAGTGGCAGGTACCTAGTAACGAATGTATGAAGTGGCTACCTGTTGTGATACCTATGATGATGTTTACGGACTAGCACGCTGCTTATCCAAGATGTCTCTACATCCTCAAGTCTTATATAATAATGAAGCAAAGATACGTCTGTTTCAAACTCCAGCTTTGTCGATGTGATGTCTGGTGTTTCTCAGAGCAGAGCAGAGCAGCAGGCCGGCCTAGGCAGCCAGCATCCGGAATAAGCATCAGGTAATAGAACTGGCTGCATGTGCCCAGCAGTCCATTATGTGATCCATGCCGTAGCTAGCACGAGCAGTACTGTACTGGAGCTGATCTGCGGTGCTAGGCCTGGGAGCGGCCTGGGAGCCACAAAACCACTGCCGCCATATTCACATGCGGCGATCGAGTCGACGGAATCCCAGTGCCATGAATCCTGACTAAGCTTCCAATCTCTGCCCGTGGCAGAATCGGCTAAGCGATAAGCGCAGCAGCCAATGGCCGCTCGCAGCTGGCGCCGGTGTGGGGCCTGGCCGGGCGGCACATCCCACCTTTGGATTCTCACCTCTGTCGCCAGAGACAAGAGAGATCCTCGCCTGAAGCACCCGCGCGGACATCGCCAGCATCCTTTTTCCCTTATCCTCATTGCGTCGCTGATCCGCGACCGAGCCTGCCCAAGATGGCGCGCGTCTACGCCGACGTCAACCAGAACATGCCCCGCAGCTACTGGGACTACGACAGCGTCAACATCAGTGCGGAGTTGCCCCAATCCAATCACCACGCGAGCGATGCGGGAGGCGCTAACATGGACGGCAGGCTGGGGAGTTCTCGAGAACTACGAGGTCGTTCGCAAGATCGGTACGTTGTGTGGCCTCCGGGCTCTTGATCCGTCCCCTCTGCTGCCGCGTCGGCACGCGTGGCTAACCCGAGACTCTACCTACAGGCCGGGGCAAGTACTCCGAGGTCTTTGAGGGCATCAACGTCGTCAACTACCAGAAATGCGTTGTCAAGGTCCTGAAGCCCGTCAAGAAGAAGAAGATCAAGCGAGAGATCAAGATCTTGCAGAATCTGGCGGGTGGGCCCAACGTCGTTGCGCTGCTCGATGTCGTGCGGGACTCCCAGGTCAGTAACTAATGAGCACAAATTGCCTGCTATGCGTGTTGCGGTGAGCTGACGGGAGACGCGGGAATGCGTCCTGGTGCACTGCAGAGTAAGACGCCGTCTTTGATTTTCGAATATGTCAACAACACCGACTTCCGAAGCTTGTACCCCAAGTTCAACGACCTTGACGTGCGATTCTACATCCTGGAGCTGCTCAAGGCTCTGGACTACTGCCACAGCAAGGGAATCATGCACAGAGACGTCAAACCTCATAACGTTATGATCGACCATGAGAACAGAAAGGTACGGCACGGCAGTGTTACAGTTTCCGGTTGGGCCAGCAACAATCATGATCACCTTGAGCTCATCTGTGTCTGTACATGTGTACTAACTTGTGGGGTACCAATAGCTGCGTCTAATTGATTGGGGCTTGGCTGAGTTCTACCATCCCGGTACCGAATACAACGTGCGTGTTGCATCTCGCTACTTCAAGGGGCCCGAGCTGCTGGTCGACTTCCAGGAGTACGACTACAGTCTCGACATGTGGAGTCTCGGCGCCATGTTTGCCTCCATGATCTTCAGGAAAGAACCATTCTTCCATGGCAACAGCAACTCGGATCAGCTTGTCAAGATCGCTAAGGTCCTTGGCACAGACGATCTTTTTGACTACCTTGACAAGTACGAAATAGAGTTGGATGCACAGTATGATGATATTCTGGGACGCTTCCAGAAGAAACCTTGGCATAGCTTTGTCACATCGGAGAACCAGCGTTTTGTCTCTAACGAAGCCATCGACTTCCTTGATAAGCTGCTACGCTACGATCACCAGGTTCGTTGTGTTTCTCTGTCTTCTTTTTCCCTCTCTTTCTTTCGCGGACTATAATACTAACTCTCTTTCAACAGGAGCGTCTCACGGCAAAGGAGGCCCAAGCCCATGCCTATTTCAACCCTGTTCGGGACCCTGAAGTGTTTAAGCAGAACTTGATCGGCGCTAACGGAGGACCGTACAAGTCCTGAAGACACAAATGAGCTCATTTTATTTATTCATTTTTCCTATTTTTTCATCTCGAGTATCGCGTTCCCGTCTGCTCTTCCGCCCTCATCCATGCCATTTGAATCATGGCCTCTTGAAGATAACTCTAGCTATCTGGCCGTGCTGCCTAATAAAGCTTATGTATTTTCGATAAGACAGAATATGTGCAAGGGGGGACTAGCCATGGGTAAAACAATGGGGAGAGCAAAAGGACAGCGATGGACGGCATTTGTTATGTTGACGTTTTTTTGCGGAAGTGTGACAGGAACAACAATATTCAGTGCTGGATATGAGAAAGAAAGCAAGCGGCTAGGAAATGACTACAAAGCGGACAAACCTCTCTATCCCCCCCCCCTCTCCCCTTATCCCTCTCCAATCCTTCACCAGTTTATGAACTCTGGAACTGTATCTCACTCGGTCAGTCGGTCGACGGCGTTTTCAGGAAATTCGGGTATTTGACAAACTCGGGTGCGAGGCAGGAGAGGGTAAGGGGGGGAGGGGATTCTCATCCATAGTTTCTCGCTTCTTGTTAACGACTTGGAACACTTTATTTGATTTGCGGGTACCTAATATGAGGTAGCGGGTAATATCTTGTCATTACACACTGCCTGTTTACGTCTCTTTTTTGTAAAGAAGAAAAAGAAAGAAAAAATATTCCCCCGATATATGTTACTCCATTGCGCCAGCCAGTTGATTTTCCCGCAATTCCCTACCCATTCGCTTGGTTTTTTCTCGAGACCTCGCATTAGCTACGCTCTATAGACACGTAAAACAGAAATCTCGTCCGCATCTATATCCATCCAACCCGCACGCCCTCAGTGTGCCACCAGGCGTCTTGATAATACTACCGGGACTGACGGGCTCAGACGGCCTTTTCTTGACCGGAGTGTGATACACCTCTCTAGTACGGGAGCTAGGTTTCCACATTTTGCGCGCAGTCGTCTGCGCCGCGGAACTCGGCAACTTGGGCACCGCAGTCAAGTTGCGGCCCAGCTCGTCAATACCCTCGTCCTCATCATCGGATAGCAAAGATAGGATGGAATGTCGAGAAGAAGGAACCTTCAAGGAGCGATGTCGACGGGGCGTCCGGGGTGGATTGCTCAATGATGGCAAGGGCTTGTCGACCTCCATGGTGGAGGTCAACTGCGAGTCGCGTTTTGAAGGGCTCTTTGAGGGGGATTTCGACGGAGAATTTGAAGACCCTTTTGAGGGAGATTGTGCGAGTGTCTGATTTACCACCTCAGGAGGCGAGACAGTGCGTCGAGGAGATGGAAGGGCTGGCTCGACGCGCAGCGAAGTCTTAGTGAGTGGCGAAGATTCGGTATGAGAGAGGTCGTCGAATGTTTCATAAGAGCTATCATCAATGACGGTGACGGCGGTGATATGCTTCACTGGCTGTTTTGAGAGGCGTCTCTTCTGCGTAGATGTTATATCTTTCGAGTCTTCACTAGCGGGTGAGCTTGAAGGCGGAATGACCGTAGACTGATTCCTTGCCTTCTTTGCTGAGGCTTCTAAGGGCTGAGGCGTATCATCTAGGGATACGTCGAGGGTGATTCGAGAGAAGAAGCGAGTGGGAGAAGAGGATAATGATGCCAAGCCGATGGATTCTTCCGATGGAATTTCCAGGTGTGCAATGCTTCTCTTATGCGCGGTGGGAGACGAGTCTATAATGGCATTCTTTGTAGTCATGCGCTTTTTGAGAGAATAGCTTGGCAGCCTTTCTTTGCCAACATCTGAAGAGCTGGCTTCCACTCTCGAATTCGCCTCGACACTGTGAATCTCGCGTAGTGGAAGTGTGTTGTCTGGTATATGTCGGGGAGCAGATTTCCTCGACTTGGACAACACGGTTGGGGCTTCGTCGTCCGAAAGAAGGCAACCTGAATCGACAGGTTTGTGGAGAAACCCAGCCGACACTTGCGCACGAGAATGATTAGCAATTTCCGGTTGGCGAACTTCGCTTTCGTGTGAAGTAGACAAATCAACTGGGGGGGTTGAATCGCCATTCTCTCCTTCTTCTCCTTCTTCTTCCTCCTCTTCGTCAGCAGAGTCCGGGATGCAATCAGTCTCTGGCTCCGACAAGGTACGATGTTCTTCACATTCTTGGGCTGATTCAGACCCTTCAGCTTCCCCATTTTCGTGATATGAGTCGTGTTTTTCGGCGCTTCGCTCTGCCAACGCTTCAGCCCAGGAAATCTTGTTCAGGAATTCAACCTGTTTCCTCGTCCGTCCAGAGCGCCTTCGTCCATCAGCCTCGTCAGGTAGTTCAATAAGCGATGCCTTTTGGTCCGGTTCTTTGGCTTTGTGCGAAAGCTTGTTGGGTTGTGGATCAGAGGCCTTCTTTAAACCGCCAGAGGGTGTAACCGAAGCCTCATTCCTTGTCAAGTCTTCGCCTGACCTCTGTTTTCTCTTTCTGCCTCTCCGAGCGCTTCCCATGGACTTGTAGCCGCTGTCACTCGAAGTGCCCTCCCCTCCCCTTTCTTCGGCCTCTTTCCTCGCTAGGCTCTTGGATTGTTGCAAATTATTGCTCTGCCTAGCAGGCTCTGCTGGGCTGTCATTGGCAATTTGCTTTTCTTTATATATTTTCCCGGTCAAAATCACATCTTCATCTTCCTCCTCTTCCTCCTCTTCTCTCCTGCCCTCATCATCCACAGGCTTCGTAGGCGGCGGCAGCAAAGGATGTCTAATGATTTTCCTCCTCCCTATAAGCAAATGCTTGCCAAAAGTGTTCGTGAATGCTGATGGAAGGGGTTCATCTTCATTGTCTCGGAATTTCGAATTGGGCGCCCAGATTGAGCTTTCGCCATTCTGCTTGGGGAAATTATATCGACTTGGTTTGATCGGTAATTGTTGCTTTTGTGGCTGATGGACTGCAAATAATTCGGGCTTGTCCCATAATGGATCAGAGTACTGGCCGGGGAAGCCCCAAGGTTCCATGGCGAATGGTGATCGGTCAAACGAGAACGGAGAGGAAGCAAAGGGTAGCTCCGTGGGAGGCGCAAAACCCTGCGCTGCACATAGCGAGTTGCGTGCGACTGCTCTAGAAACGTCCAGCGTGTTTCTTGACGATGATCCCAGCACAAGGGCTGTAGAATGTGAATCGCGCGACGCCTCGCGGCCCTGTATTATCCGATCTTCCTCGTCGTCGTCCGTATCGTTTCTATTCTGAGCTTTCGCTCCAAAGCCATCCTGCCTCTTTTCTCCCCTCCCCTCGTCTCCATATTCCTCTTCGTCATCAAAAAAATCTTCCAACAAAATTCCTTCGTCCTCGTCATCCTCTTCATCCGCGAGATCGCCTGCTAGACCGTCTCCGACGTCTCCTTCGTCGCGCATATTGCGAACATGGCCGTTGTTAACGACAATCTCGCCTGTCACAAGATCGATCTCGTCGCCAATGCCTTCGAAGTCACGGCCATACTTTTCGAAGATATGCGCCATGGTAACCTGGAATCGCTGGTCTGCAAAAGCTCTTTCGACGGAAAGCTTGTAATCTGGATCTCGCTTAGCCTCAACCTCGAAAGGCTGAGAGGCGAGCTCATCGTCTTCGTCGGCATTCTCTTTGTCCAACAGCCACTGGCTCATGCGGCGGCGCTTTGCCGGCGGTTCCATAGCTAGATTGACTCCAAATTGCGGTGATGGATATAAGATACAGAGAGGGAAAAAGTATTGCCAATTGATATAAAAAGGATATTAAGACTGTGGCAGTCTTGGGCGCTGCGGGCTGCCAACCTCCTGGCGACCTGGGGAGTTGAAGATGGCCGACAATGCGGCACTGGGAGCTTGGATGAAAGATGGTTGGGGGAGCAACGAGATGGAGGTTGCACAAGGATGGAGTAGCGCATTCGCGTCGCGATTCCGTCCAGCGGCGCGTTAAGTGGCTGCACCTCTGAGAGAGCTGCAAATACAGCGCAGTCAGGCCGCTAATCACTCTGGAGCTAAGCTCTAAATGCGCCAGCGCTACAGGCAGTATAGAGGGGCGTGCAGCGCCTCAATCTCCATGGCGTCACAGGGCCAAAGAGCAAGACCCTGATACTTCAAGCTTCCACCATGTACCTTTTGATACAACTTTTCTACACTCAACATTAGCATTTAGTTTTACCTCGCGGCAAATCTTTTCCACCTCAGGCAGGTTTCCTTCTTTTGACCTATTATCGACGACAGCCGGAGCATGAAACGGCACTTCGACTCGCAGCCAAACGAACCTCTTCCATCCTCTCCGCCACTAAGCCATCGAGATGCATTGCCAAAAGTGCCGCCAGCCGTTGAAGCTGGACAGCTCTCTCGACGACCTCAACCCAGCCGCATATGATCTCCTTGTTTGTAAGTGTCAAGGTCAGTGTCGCTGAGAGTATGCGCAGTTGCTAACCTGGTTGTCCCGTCACACAGCAGCCACATCGTCTTCACAAACAGCGACCAAAGCCTCAACCCCGCGTCCATCAGTACTTCAAGCTCAAGAGCAATCACGAAAGTCACTCTACGACAAGGTATCGCAGAATGCTGCCGCGCCGACCTTCAAGCGATACCGGGGCGGTCAGCCTCGCGATGCTACAATGTCCTTCATCTATCTCACCGAGTCACAAGTCGGGCATCCTCTATCGCCTCAGCAGCAGCAGAAAGAACGAGCAATAATTCCCCCGCGCCGACGAGGCTCCAGCACAAATGGAGCTCCTGAAGACGAGCCCCAGACAAATAAAGGAGACGACTTGGACAAGATAAACCGGCTGTTCGAGATATTGTCCGCCAGATCCGACATCGATCACCCAGTCTGTGTGGACTGTACCGAACTACTAGTGGAGGGCCTTCAAAAGAAACTCGATTCTGCATCCAAGGAAAGAGACGCGTATGTCCAATACCTGAAAGATATCCAAAGTAGTCAACCGAGCGAAGAGGACGTCAAGGCTTGGAAAGAGGCTCTAAAGAAGGCGGAGAAAGACAAGACCGCTGCAATGGAGGAGCTGAAAAGGCTGGAAGCTGATAAGGATACTTTGGATGAGGAGATTTGGGCATTAGAGGAAGAGTCTCGACAACTGGACAAGGAAGAGGAGAACTTTTGGAGGGAAAGGAACGCCTTTGCCGCCAAAATGGCAGACTTCCAGGCTGAGCGCGACAGCATAAACGCGAAGTATAACAATGACTCGCAGTTGCTTGAGAAGCTACAACGATCCAATGTCTACAACGACACCTTTTGCATCAGCCACGATGGAAGCTTTGCTACCATCAACGGCTTGCGCCTAGGCAGGCTTTCCAATAAACCTGTGGATTGGCCAGAAGTCAATGCCGCTTGGGGCCATGCGCTGCTCCTGCTGGTGACGGTTGCTGATAAGCTCGGGTATAAATTCCAAGGGTACGAGCCGGTGCCGTTGGGGAGCACCTCCAAAATCATCCGGTACGAGTCGCCCAACCCGGCATCCAGTAGGTTAGGGGGCCGAGCGATGCATGGGCCCCCGAAGAAACAGGTGCTAGAGTTGTACAGCTCAGGAGACATGCCACTCGGGCTCACGTTTATGCACCGCAAATTCGATACTGCCATGGTTGGTTTCCTCGAGCTAGTTCGGCAACTGGGCGTCTTTGTTCAACAGCAAACAGAGTCGACGGGCGTCCCATTGACTCTTCCGTACAAGATCGAAGGAGACAAGATTGGGGATACCAGTATCAAGCTCGGTATCGCGCAGGACGACGGATGGACAAAAGCATGCAAACTCACGCTTACATGCTGCAAGTTTCTGCTGGCCCACGCTAGCAATGTGACTTCAAATGCGAGAAACGGCACTTAGCGAGATGACAAGATCCAGGTGATTGATTCATGGTACCAGAGCAACACACTGTGGAAGATTGCAGCTACGTACAAGCCGCGGCATGGCCCGCCTTACAATCATACTGAGAGCGACGTTGGTATGTTGCCATATTGTTCTACTTCACTGTACCCTATCTGTTGTTTTTCTGTCTCTGCTGTGATTTTTTTTTCCCCTCCCTCCGGTAATGGCCACTAAGGCGCTAATCCGAACATCTAGACTTTGGCTCCTACGAAGCGTTATGTGGTGGAGGAATGGCATATACCATATATCACGGCACATCGTGAAAACAAACCAACAAAGACGGTATCCTGACGGGTCACGGACAGCGTCACAAGAGGTACCCCAGATTTCATAGTCACGAGGCCCAATAGAACTTCCTTTCACCACAAAATCATGTCGTACAGCCTGTCTCTGCCGCCTATGACCGTTTCAATCTAGCGAGTTGCTCCGTCTGACAAGCATTCCTTCAAGATGCTTATTAGACGTTTATCTCAGCCCCAGTGGGCAAGCTGCATGACAGTGACAACACAACGCTCGTCTGGACCAACGAGGGATGCAGTTCGCAGCCTCATTTTAGGCTTCCCCTCCCTCCGACTTACACCTCGCCGGCACTCACCCACGCTACAGGCCTGCAAATCGTCCGGCGAATGCTCTGCATAAGCCTAGTCCAAATCCATACTCGCCGCATCGTGTTGGAGTGGTACAATGACGGTCTGTGGGCTGAGCGCCAGGCAGAGAGCCTCACTAGCTTGAGCAGACCGAAATCAGGATGCTGCTGCCTTCGGTGTCACAATGCAGGCCCAGCCGTTGTTCGATCAGCTTAGATCGGGTCAAGAGCTTATAAGAGTCTCCGTCTGCCACTGCCTTACCCAAATGCCACCTCGGTCTGTCATTCTTCTTGCGTTTCTTGTCCAACCCATTTATCACTGATTATTCCATATACCATCTTTTCCTGTTCTTCGCCTTTGCATTTCTACCTCCAGCCGAGTAATTTCACGTCGGCATCATGGCTGGACCTCGCTTCATTCGGGACTATGAACCTCCTTTCCCTCGGGATTATCAACCCCGTGCGCCTATCGTTCGTGATTATGACCGCGAGGACAGCATGAGCGATGGGTTCGAAGAGCTGGGACCACGTAGTTTATTGCCCAATCCGCGACGACTCCAATATGCCGTCGATGGCGAGGTTCCTGAGATCCTCTATACCCTTAACCATGTCAACCACAGTAGACGCTTCCTTGGGCGTAAGTTGAGAACCCTCCCTCCATCTTTGCGATAGCTTGCTGATAGCTTGGACTGGCAGGCTTGCGAAGCTCTAAACCATTTGAGAACGTGACTACCTACGAAATCAAGCACGATGAAACCGACGAGGGCGGCGAACTTGCCAAGAAGCCCATCTTCGAGATTGTTACCAATGTCTGCATTGAGGGGAGGAGTCTAGATACTAACAGACACATTGTTCATCCTCGTCGCGGAAATCCTAACGTGGATCGACCCATCACAGCGGCTTTTGACAACGTCGACTATCGAAGCGATGGCTACTATACTGAGGAAGAGCAGTATTATGATCCGCCGGGAACTCCTCAAGTGGAAATCCCTCTCATGGTCATCTATTCTGATCATCTCCTCAATGCTCTTAGAGCTGTCATTCGATACTACCCGAACATCAACCTCAACGGGAAGTCTGTTCAGATCAGCGCACCCTATCGTGTACTCTACCACCATCGCTCTGAGCTGTCCGAGTATCGTGATAACCAGCCTAGCGAGCATAGCGTCGAGTATGCTGAGACCACGGCGCACCACATCGATGTTCTTCTCAAGTTTCTTGGTGAGAACTTCAAGGATGAGATTACCAAAGAAGAGGAGCGTCACAAGCTTGAGACTCCTACAGCCACATTTGACTATTTCTGGCTCCTTCTTAAGCCGGGTCAAGTCATCTATGCGAAGAAATACGATATCTGGACGCCATTGGTCATCAGCAGTGTCAGCATTGGAGCCCGTCTTCACGGTAACCAGGACAACTATAGACTCAGCTGCTGGTCGCTGGAATCCAATGGCGCCAAGGTCGGTCGGTTCATGGAGAGTGTCATTGTAACTCCGTGGCCAGGTGAACAAGTTATCAGCTCATTGTCTGTTATTCCTGCGGCCTTCTGGAAAGAGGACCTTGAAGCCCAGGGTGGCCTCCCAATGCGCGAAAAGATGATCGAAGAAGGCAAGCTGTACTGGGAACTCCTGAAGCGACCTACCTACATGGAATATGATGGCCTTCTCGTCAACTCTGGCTCCGGCAGCAGACTTCCTGGCGGTGCGACTGGCTTCATGAATGGCCGTGTCATTTGCGATGCCGCGGGTTTCGACAAGTTCTTTGAGTCGTCCCCCGATTGGGACGGAAGGCGATATCCTCAACCTCATCGCCGCCGCATGACTCAGGGCATTCCTAACAAGGACTTCCTCCCCCAGAACCTCCCAAGATGCGGCTGCACTGTTTGTGGTGAGGATCGATCTAGGGAAAACGACGGTCCCTTTGTCGGATTTGAGGACCTCGATCCTCTATGCGACACTCCTCCCGACAACGAACTTTTTTACTTTGTTCTCAGCAAGACGATTCCAGGCTTCATCCTTGGTACTCGCCGCTGGGGAAATCTTCATGTTGCCAATCTCAGCCCGGTCAAGCCCGACAAGGAGGCTTTCAAGTATCTCGTCTTGGACGACGACATCAAGATGACCGTGAGGGCCCTCATCGGCCAATACACCACCGGCGTCGATGGCCAGGTTACTCCCTGGGGCAACGACTTCATCCGCAACAAGGGCGAG